AGAGGAAAAGAGCGCTTCCGCTATCTCTCCCGTGTTATTATCCAAATTGAATGTAAACTTGAATAATGTACATCATTTGAATGTAATAATGATGTTGGTTGTTGTTTGTGGAAGCTCCAGTGAATGAGCCCATTAACTGAGTTTTAAACATCACTTTAAATGGAAGATCCCCATAGGCCCCGCCCACTCGATCGGATCGGCCGATACTGATTCCGGCGATCGGCCCCAACATTGGCGATCGGAGCATCCCTTGTATATACTTATAAAATAATACTTTGCCAATGTCAGGAGATACTTATATAAAATATGGTCATTTAACTAACATGAATGTATGGCTGGGAGTTAGAGCAGCATTGTTTTTTTTATTCTTCATGTTTAATGCTTCAGAACACTGACTGATCATCAGGATCGATGCTGCTGTTGGTCCTCACCTCTCTGTGCGTCACAACAGTCATGCTCTTCCTCCTCACTACCTTCTTCATCATTACTTCCTCCTTCCTCCTCCTGTTCTACCTTTCCCTCTCCTTCCACAGTAGAGGCAGTCTCTGACACCTCTTCCTCCTGGCATGTGGTGAAGAAGCCCTGGAGACTGCTGTCAGAGTCTACCTTGAAAGGTGGAGGCTGAAAAATGGACACGTAAATGTGAAGTACGGAGTGAATTAAAAGGAGGCACGTTAACACTGTGTTGGTTTGGGTCTTTCACGAGTGAGGATAATGAAATGAGTGAGCTTTACTGAGGTGTCTCTTGGTGTGGTGAAGCTCTCAGACTGCTGATACACAGGGGTGGGGGGGTCGCACACAGGGGAGTCTTGGAGATTGGCCTCAATGAAACCTGTCATCACACGTCGGCGTACGTCTGTCAAAACAGGGAAATACCTCATGTCACTTATGTTCTCCTGTACTGGACATTTTATTTGAAATGTTTATCAAATATCTATCAATGCACGTAAGATCCAAGTCCAGGTTACAGTTGCCCTTCTGCCGTTTATTATTATAGTTTTTATGTCACAGCGAGAAACCTGGTTCTCCAAACAGGATCTTTTCTGTATTCCCCCTCCTGTCCATCTACATAGAGTGGTGCAGGAATTACTCCTAAAACCAAGAATTAAGTCAGCGTTTCACCAATTCCTGTGAGATCTGAAGTTGATACAAGCTTAAGAGATTTTCACATTTTGTTCTACAACATGAAATACGTCAGAAATGACCCAACTGATAAATGTCCGAAGCTTTAAGGAGACTTGGGCGACCTTGGGTCTCATGAAAGGAGCTATAACAATCCAAGTTATTATTATTATTACTATTACACATCATCACAACAAACATTAGCTGCCTTTAGCTTAGCATTTACAGCCTAATGTTAGCTGTTTGCTTCTGGAGATTGCATTTACGCTTTCAAAATCAGAAAGTGGTGTTAATATGTGGAGATTAGCTTGCTCAACAAAATGTGTAAGTATCATAAATGTTGCTAAAGATATTATTTTGTGAAATATTGCCAAATCTTCTGGGTCGGCATTAGAATGAAATCATCATCACTGCACCACCACTCTGCAGTGTAGATCATAAATAAACACTGTTAAGCTCGCTTTGCATTTCTCACGTAGATTCAAAATGTTCTAGAGATTTCCACCTCCAGTTATTAGTAGTAGCTTTAAACTTGGGAGAACTTCCCAAACATTTATGGTGAAAACACTTAAGTCCAATTGTGTGAAAAACAGGTATTTTCATAAAAGAGAACATTATGTGTGGTTTTACCTGGGCTACGTGGGGTACTGTTACAGGGGGGGGCGCGTCCGCTGACAGAGACACTGGGGAGCTTCTCCTGAGCCGGAGCTGGAGAGGCTGTGATGCTGGAGAGTTCAGCTAGCAGAGCCATGTCTAACTGAGCCCTACACACACACACACACACACACACACACACACACACACACACACACACACACACACCACACAACACCACACACACACACACACACCACACACACACACACACACACACACACCACACACACACACACACACACACACACCACACACACACACACACACACACACAAAGATCAGCTTCTAAGGAGAAACATTACTGTGGGATGGACCTTATAACCTAACACTTTACAGTATAAACTAGCTACGACCAAATATATAGTATTTATTAATGTACATTATTTAAAGTCTGTTAATTTATGAAACAGGTCAAAACTAGGCTAAGAGGCCAACAATACATGTTCAATGTGTGCATGAGCAGTTACAGTATGAGTCTGTATCTGAAAAAAGTAATTTCACATCAGAACATGATTTCTGCCAGATTAATTCCCACACAAATCAGGAGGGTGCTTTAAATGACTAGCTTGGGGGAGGCTGTGGCTCAGTCGCTAGTGTGCTGGACTTGGAATCAGGGGGGGTAGCAAGTTCGAGTCCCACTGCAGTCAGCATGTCGTTGTGTCCCTGAGACACTTCACCCCAAATTGCTCCTGTGGGGATTGTCCACAGGACTGAATGCATGTAAGTCGCTTTGGATAAAAGCGTCTAACAAATGACAGGGCTCACTTGTTAGCATGGATCATCCGAGGCATGTGTTGGAGCCATTTAGATCTATTCTAAAACTTTTTCGAGTTATTGTTTAAAATATGAGTTATTCCTTTTTTTGTATATGACACTATGCTTCACCTGTAGTTGGTGCTGATGGGAGACTTTAAATGGAAAAGCAAATGTTTTGTTTGTGGGTCACAGTTTTTCCGACGTGTTCTCGGGTGTGTCTAAGACAGGGTTGCCCACACTGTTTCAGCTTGGGAGCTACTTTTAAAATGTCCAAGTCAAAATGATCTACCTACAGGGCCCAATCTGTGCCCCCACGCAAAGTCATGAGGCCCTCTGTGCTGCGAGCGTCGAGCGTGAGGCCCCACGCAGTGTGTGTGATCTGCCTGTAGGGAGGGGCGGGCCTGTCTACCTACATTAAAAATGCTAAACATATACTTATTCATATATATAGGGCCTACTGAGTATAGCCTACATTATGTTGGTGTACCTTGCATAACTGCATGAACCCGTATGGCACAATACAAGTACTGTACATTTTTGGTCATTACGTCCATTTGATACCCTTTCTTTAGTAGAGTGGTATACATTGGAAGGCTATCTAGGTAATCAGCTCGCCGGTGATTTGCAGCTGGCATGGTTGACTGCGCATGCTAGTACTAGACTCCTGGTACTAGCATGGGTTAAATGCAGAGAACAAATGTCACTGTGTGTGCTGTGTGCTCTGCATGTGTGACCATTAAAGAGGGTTTCATCCCTCCCATTCTATTCTAACTGCGTGTTAGAGTAGATGAGATCTGTACGTCAATCAAGTGGCAAATGCCATAGTCAGGATGGATGATAGGATAACTTTATTTTTTAATGCCATGCGATCTACCCACACTACCTTTGCGATTGCGATCGACGTATTGGGCACCCCTGCTCTAAGAGAATAAGCCTAGGATAAGACATTTCAGCTTGTCTGGAGAAAGAGAGCAAATACATGCTGTACATTATATATTTCTGAAGTATCATATATTGTCCCTGTGGAGTAACGTATCTTTGCCATCAATGCACCTACAATATAAAGCTAGCATGTTAGTGTTCTTACATGTTAGTTTTGGGTGTACATTGAGCCAGTGTTCCACTGACATCTGGATCAGTGTCTATTTCCTCAAAGTTGTTTTCATCGTCTGAGGAGGAAAACAGAGAAACTTTGTTAAACATTTATGCCACTTTGCAAAAATCTTTCTCACATTTGTCACAATATCAATATCTTACGAGTGTTGTGAGTATCCTGCAGGCGACTCTCCCTTGGTGCAGGCTTGCACACTTCCACAGTAACATCTGCATCTTCTTCTGAACTGGATGTCTTGAGGGGACGAATCATGTTTGCATAAAAGACAATGAATTTGAGGTCACGGAATGCATTTCAGTCAAAGCCATGCAGATGTGGCTGAACAGCCTTCACTTGGACGCCAAGTGGCACAGGGAAGTCAGGGTGTCGCAGCATTGCCTCCACTCTCTGTCACGCTGGAGGGGCAGGGCCTATCTCCTGATGGGCGTGCCCATGGGCATGATACAGCCGGTGTCACGTGGGTCACAGGTGACTTTGTTGTTATTGGTACTCGAGCTGCGCATGCGCGCGATGGACATATCCAGTGCTTAAAGCACCGCCTCTGGCGGTCATCTGGGACTCATAGAACCGTAGTTACAGCCGTAACTATCGTTGTATACACTGGGTATACGCCAAGATGGGCATTCTCTTAATCCCAACATGTGCATCTTAACTATTCCATTTTGGTTTTATATTTATCGTTGCATGTTTTTGTATTTATGCCTCGTGGTTTTAATGGTGTGATTTGCCCATTACAAACCCCCTCTACTACATGAAGTACACCACTCCTCAAACAATTCTAAGTACTAACAAAGGTCTGAATTCTGGCATTGCTTTTTTAAGTCTGTTATCAATTGCTTTGCCTAAATCTACAATACTTTTACCTTGTCACACATTTTCAATTGCATGTGTTATCAGTTTTAACCTCTTATATCTAAAAAGGACAATTTTAATTTCTGTTGTAATTTATTGATATTAATAAATGTGTTTCCTGTGGTGCTCTGTTCTTTGACAGTGGAAATGAGTGTTGCTGATACAAATAAGAACCTCACAATATTGTGACATATACTCAACATAGAAAAATGTGTTCAAAAAAGTGTAAAAAACACAGTGTTGTTGTACCTGCTGCTTGTTCCCAGAAATGATATAGGGAAGGCTGCCGTCCACAGCTGACATGTAGTGGCTCTGCTCCTCTGTGCTGAGATCAGCAGCCACTGTCATGTAGTGGTCTGAGGACCCACCATCCTCTTCCTCATGCTCTTTAAGGGGGTAGTAACTGAGCCATAAAGCCAGCTCTTCCTGGCTCAGCAGTTCCCACTCTCTGGTCAGGAGCTGGGCCTCCAGGTTCCTCCCCCAATCCTCTCCTCCCTGAGGTATCACACTGTACCTCTTTGAAGGTGGTCCAACAGCCGAACGGACTCCTGAATAGTTGCTGGAGGAATCTGTTTGGATATCAGATGGAGCATCTCTGAGCAGTTGGTCCAGTGGGTCCTCCTCTATGTGTTGCTCCACTGTGTCCAGGCTCCTGCTGGCCTGCTGCAGCAGCTCCCAGCTCACTTTGAGGTTGACAGCCACGGTGCTGATCTGATGATCCGTTTCTCTTTCTGACAGCCGAAGGTCGTCCAGCTGCTCCACCATTTCCCCGTCTGTGTCTGTCTCCGCTTCAGGTTCTTCCTCAACAATAACTGGCTCTGGGTAAGGGTACACCTGATGGTGGACAGGTTCTCCCTCTGTACATCCATCCCTTTCTCTCTCCAGCTCTGGCTCTCTGAGCAGCTGCTGGCCCAGGAAAACCTGTCTCTGCACATATGTGGGTCTGTGGACAACTGAGAGGGTTTGAGGTCATCCTTTTGTGATTGATTATGTGCCTGAAGCATACACCGTTTATACAGTTCTAAACTATTGTTTTATATTTACACATGGATTGTGGATTAGGGCTGAACGATTAATCGATTTTAAATCAAAATCGCGATTCGAGATGATGCGATTATCAAATCGCAAAGCCTGCGATTTTTTATAACTTTTTTTTTTTTTACAATTTTATTTTATTCTTCTTCTTGTGTGTCAGTCATCACACCAATCAGAAGGGCTGTGCTCCACATGTACCAGCCATTGTTAATCAATCAGAAGTGGCCCATGATAGAAGGTGATAGACAGATTGATCCAATCACCTGCCAAGTGCTTTTGAAAGTGCCTGCCCTTTCCAAATGGCTTCCAATGGAGCTTTAGATGGTTTGGTGAAACAAAGCATCTGAGTCAGGTTAGCAATGCTCCATCACGTGTTTCTATGACAGGGTGAATCTTAAACTGAAGCTTGACTTTAAAGCAACCCAACGGAAGTTTCATGTAAGTTTAGTTCTTTCACTCGTAGCTCGGGCTGCGGGGGTGCTAGAGACAGGAGTACGTTGATACGACCTTCCTAGCCGGAGTTATGGCCGCATTTTACAATAAACTTCCGTTGGGTTGCTTAAAAATAAATATCGCAAATCGAATCGCAATATTTGTCAGAAAAATCGCAATTCGATTTTTTTTCCCAAAATCGTGCAGCCCTATTGTGGATCTTCTCACACTACTCACAGTGAGGCAAATCTTTCCCCATAACATGGGAAGCCTTTAAGTTTGTGTTGTGCTCAGTACCGCTCTCTTCTGGTTCCCCAACGATGGTATGCCAGTTCGGGGTCTTGACCTCAGGCTCCAGATCTTCTTCTGCGTCCGTGCTTAACTCTTCCTCCAGGGAAAACCTCTGCCGCAAACACACACAGAACAGTGTATTATGCAAGATGACAATGTATTTGTTCATGGTGCATGTATTATTTGCAACATTATAACTGAACATATTACAGGGATTGTGTTGACCGGGGGTGTTAAGTTGATCTTCCACACTTGTATGTCTGATTGTGTCTGTCTGTTATTCTTTACATTATAATAGTGGTGGTCGCACATGTCAGGGCATGTGCATGATATGTCTGTTTGAAATGGAATACCTGTATCTAACTGGGAATGTTGTTAATGGCATTGGAAGAACTACTCAAAGCTTTTAATCTAAAGTGAAACTATTAGGCTTACTATTAATACCGCACATTAAAAGTGCGGTATGGTCCTACATTCCTTTGATGTAAAAAACACCAGAAGTAAGTAACAGTTCGAGTTGAGCATCTTGCTCTAAGTTCTTTGGGTGAACTATCAGTTAAAATGGTAACATCATTCAATATTTAGGATTTCACCATTACAATAAATAAAGCTGTTAGGAGCCCTTTATGATGTTGCCTACCTTGCCTAACAGTTAAGTGAACCAGCCTGTTTTTCACAGGTGTTTCTGACCCTAGTGGAATTGGGTTTGTAATGCAGCTACGTATTGCAGTGTGGACAGGAGCCGTGTAAGAGCGGCTTTTGAGAAGTACAACAGACCAAGAGATGGACCCGTTCCGAATGGGCACTGCTCCAGTACCTGGATGTCCTGTTGCAGAGTGCAGCTCAGACTATGCAGGCTGCAGCTGCGGTCCTGTGGGGGGGGCTGCAGGCCTGTCCGCACCACATCATAGTACGGCTGTGGAAGCCTGCTATCTGCTGCCAGAACCCGTCCTGCATCTATCTCCTTCTTGATAGTGTCCAGGTCTGCTGTGCCCCATGGTTCACTGTCTGAAACAAAGCATAACACTTGGAGGCGTTTTCCTTTTCAGCAAACTGTCACATCATCTATATCTGAAAACTACAGGTGCTTCCCTGCTGTCCATTTAGTCCTCTTTATATCCAGATTCAAACGCTCAGATGTTATTAGGGACATTTCTTATTTGATAGAGAAAGGAAAAACAAGACATGGAGCTTACAAAGTTCAATTCCTTTTTCACGTTTTTGAGACCACAATAACAATCCTCTGAACCATAGAAAAAGCAACAACTTAGTGGTGAAGGAATGAGTTGTATAACCCGGAAATGAGTTAGCATTTGACTAATTCCAGTTCACAGGTTTTTGATTCGATGTCTGAAATCAAATCTGTGGTTAACACAAGCTTTAGAGATGTTTTGTTCTAAATCCGTCAGTAAATATCTCACTGTGAATGTCTAAAGCTTCTATGCATCGTAAAAACAGAGGTTAATAACTAATGTTTAAATGAGAGAACTAAATGTTATCACGCCAAACATTAGCCACCTTTAGCTTAGCGCAGGTGATGCGCAGCCATGCAACTGTGATGTTGTTACTTTACCACCCAACCTTAGCTTTTTACTTCTGGAGATTGCATTTAGGCTTTTAAAAACCTTTTTAAAGGGAGGTTTTTGGAGGGAGCCCTTGATGCTAAATTCCAGGTCAGCCTACAAAAATATGACACGACTGCACCGCTCGATTCCCTGACATACAATGTTTCGGTCTAAAATGGGGTGCGAAGGATGTGAGAGCTACTTGTGTAGAGTTCCTGGATTAGAGCACACAGACTGTAGATGTCCGCCTGCACTGTGCACGGTCGCTGCTTGATGACCTCTGGAGCCGCCCATCTGTAGAGACTGGGGGGCAGGACTATGTGCATGGGGGGTTTGACACATTTCCTTTGACTGCTGGAGAAATACACACACAATATAATTACTACCTCTTAATACTATTCTTTTAGGAAATATTCCTCAGGTTTGCTGTTATCTGTCTCATTGAAAATGCAATCCAATTTCATCTACCCAGTTATTAATATGTACAGATGTACTGTATATACAACAGTTTAAACATCACGATATGTCATACTTCTTGTACTTGGTTATACACTGAAAAACATGCAATGTGCATATGTGTATAAACTAGGGATGCACCGAATATTCGGCCACCGAAAATTATCGGCCGAAAATGGTTAAAAAGGCCCTTTCGGCTTTCGGCCTCTAATCATTAACCCATGTTTGTATCATGGAGTTAACTCCGTGTGTTGCTGCTAGCATACAGAACACCTGACGTGGAAACGTTACTCGTGGATGGTGCTACAGAGCTGCTAGAAAGACGGTCGAACCCGGTACATTCCTCCGTCTGCATGCGGTGCACTTTTGCTAAATGTTTAGACAAATTGCTCGTGCGCCCTTACATGCTAAACTCTTATTGCACTTATGGTAACAAGTATTCTCCACATCGAGACAGGTAAAGTTTAACCACACCTCGGAGCGCGTTCTCTCCGCCATCTCCGCAGTGTGCTCCGCTGCATGTAGCAGCTGCGTGTGTGTAAACTGCCCCGCCCCCTCGCACACAGACGGGGGAGAGAGATCTCGTCTGATCGAAAACACATCATAGACGCATTTGTTGTCTTTGCATATTAGAAACGAGTTGGCGACACTAAGACTGCGATATAATGTTTTTTAGCAATAATACATGACATATATAAATGTACTGTATGCATTCAAAAGTGCTGAATAAATGTTTTATGGACCCATAATAGTGATTATTATTTAAGTTAAGTTTTGCCATAATCATGTCTATTTCCATAATCAGGTAGCTGAACAACATTGGTAAAAATGTATACATTATATATATATATTTCTATTAATCATTTTCGGCCTTTCGGCATTCGGTTTTCGGCCAACTGTTCCTATTTTCGGTATCGGTTTCGGCCAAGAATTTCCCATTCGGTGCACCCCTAGTATAAACAAACAAAGTTTGATTGTTTACAACAAGCTATGCCTAGGTCTGCCTACCTGGGGACCATGAAGCCTAAACATGTTAGTTTGGCCACAGTGAGCTTTGTGAGGACCACAGAGTGTGAAGACAGGCTCCTCATCACCAGACCCGCCCTGTGCAGGAACTGCAGACCCTCGACCACCTGCAGCAGCACCGACAGCAGCCACCTCTCCTGCAGCACGGGAAACTCTGCACGCTGCGCACACACAAACACACACACATACACACTACTCTACTCATTGTTGCTACAGCTTGATTAAAGTTTGATTTAAGACATTAAGGACTTTTTAAATGCCATTTAGAATAATAACTTGACAAATAAAAAATGAAAATCCCTGCAGACAAGCATAAATGTTGTTGGTCCTGTTATCGTGGTATAGTGATCTGTTTGACTAAAGTATTTTGAAATTGCAATGTAAGAAAGGGTGTTAAAATCCTACTGCCTATGAAATGTATTTCAGACATCGTAAAACTAGCTAAGGCCTTATTTCTTTATTTTTAAATACAATGCTTTCAATAAAAAAAGGTGGAAAGGTTGAAATGTGGGGAAACAAGCAAAGGATTTTCCTATATATTTTAGTTTTGTTTGGCATCATCCCACCCAGTATGATAGTCCACACAAATACACAGCATCCAATCACAAATATAAAGAGCAAATCATACAAGTGGTCTTAAAGCGTGTCTGAGTGTCTTTGTTACCCTGTTGTGCAGCAGGTTGTGCAGAGAGCCAATTTCTACTGGTTCAAACACCAAACTGGTTCTCATGAGGTCATCAGACAGACTCACTGCCATCAGCTGCAGCAGCTGCGGGTGGAACAGCTGGCTGACACACACATAAATAAAATGTCAAGTTAGTCATGAATTGAATGTTATGGCGCGTTTCCACTGCAGCGGGTAGCTCGCTTTAAGCGTGCCGAGCCGTGCGGGGCCGTTTTGGTTGCGTTTCCACTTGGCCTAGTTTTGGCCCGGGGCTACTTTTTCACCTTTTTTCTGGCCCGACTAAATCGTGGTTCTAGGGCCAGGAACAACCAGGCTGAGTCGGGCTGAGTATGCTAAACTAGAGAGAGAATCGCTGGCAAGGCGGCTACAACTACAACAAGATGAACATATTTGACCGTGATTTAATTGTAATACACGTTTCAAAATGAGGCCGAAGTAACAACATACTGATACCGGTTAGTAAAAACCATGAATTAATGCTTTGACAAGTCTGCAGACAGATGGCAGGCGAAAAACCCTTTTAAAATGCGTGTTTTCTAAATGTAGCTTGGCTAAGCTAACGTTATATATGCTCAGACCGTCCACACTCACAACAACGGCCTATAAAGACATAAATAAACCAGCGACTGTATTCGCCATGACACAGGCAGTCTGTGGTTTGTACTTGTTTAACTTTTGTCAAGTTTCTGAACAGATATGAGGAGCTGTGAGCTCTGAGTGCTAAGAGCTAACGGCTGTGTTGTTTTTCTGGGGCTCTCATTGAAGATGACGTCACGGCTCCGCCTACACTGCGTTACTATAGTAACTGCCCCAGTTCCTAAACTGTAATGGAAGCGCAGCATTAAAGTGAGCCGGGCCTAATAAGGCCTAACCAAACCGAGCGAGGCCTGCAGTGGAAACGCGCCATTAGTTTGGGAGAGCTGATATTCTGCTAAATGTTTGCACAGTAAAGTCCAGCCCCCAGGAAGTGAATAAAGCAAATGTTCGTAGATACAAAACGTTGGTACTACAACTTCCATGTCAACCTGTGCCGTCATCTGGGCTAAAATAAAATGTTCCAGTGGACTAACATTAGGACGTCCGTTAATCATAGAATATCCTTTCGGTAGATTCACTTCTCAGTACAATCGCAGATGGATGCCGGGATGGTTAAGGATGGTTAAGGTTAGGCATCGGCCTCAAATAGTTAAGGTCAGGAAAGGCTGCCGGACAGCGAGCCTCACTATTTTACAAATCTAATGTCCAAGGTTTGCTTTTATAAATCAACTTCTTGCTGTGCTCCAGACTTTGGAAATCTGGTTATTAATTCATTAAAACTTCTGTGGCAGAGTGCACATTTTTGTTAATTTAGAAATGCCACGAACTAACAACCAAAAATTGATTTTCCCACATACAGTAATTCCTGTCTGTCTCACCTGCAGTATTCCTGTTCTATGAGCAGCAGGTCCAGATATGCTGTGCGACTGTCCCTTAGTGTTTTTACTGTCACCCTTGAGCCCCTCCAGCTGTAAATCAAACAAACAAGAGCTCACAATTTGGTCAGTACAGTAATAGCTTATGTTATATCATTATAATAATAATATCATGCTGCTTATCTTATGAGATTAAATAGATAATAAATGTAAATCTTAATCATATTTCCTACAGTGATGTAAATCAGTAAAGGGGTCTTAATGACTTGAGTTTGACTGATATATTCACTTGTTTTTTACATTCCATTCCAAGGTACAATATTTAATATTACACTTTGTCTTATCTCATTCGCGGCAGTGGTTGTCTCCCGTTCGGACTGAATACACAGCGTGGACTGGTACATGGTGCCAATTCACCTCCTGGGCCCTGCCGAGGTGCCTTGAGCAAGGCAGCGAACTACCAACTGCTCTGGGCAGTATATCAACTTGGTATGTGATGTGAGTGAAGTAATTGCCCCATTGGGGATCAATAAAGTATATCTTCTTCTTAATTTAATTTGACATGTACGTATTCCTGTATTCCACTATTGTTGCACTGTTACTTATTGCCAACAAGCTTTAACTGTTGTGCATATGACAATAAAACCTTTGAATCCTTTGAATATATCTTCCAATCGTTATTTGATGAAAGATCCTCTAGCCAGCAGGGGGTGCTGCATTTTAGTTTCTCTGCACCACGTGTGAATATTTGTCAACATACATGGAATTCTGATATTCTTCTAAGGATAGGCGCATTCATGTTCTTACTTGGTCATTGAGGCCAAAGAGCCACAGGTGAAGGTCAGCACAGGTTCATCATCAGCCGGGGTCAGATCACTATCTCTGATCAGAGGAATAGATGCTGGCACAGCTAATGCCTGGCACTGCTTGTTGACACAAACCTAGACACAAGGAATACTCCAGTTGTTTTATGGTATCCATGTCACAGCTGCTCCTCTAAACAGAGCCTGTCACAGCTGACATTGGGACAGAGGCAGGGCACAATCGTCAGCTAAAATGATTGTGACAGCCCTACTAGTGTTACTACCCAACATGTACTGTATACTGTATGAAGTGGTTACCTTTCCAAAGCCTAAACAGTAGGCTGACACACAGGAAGACCTGCTGTTTGTCCTCTTGTTTAACTGCATGTCACATCCACTAAAAGAAGAAAACATACACCAACATATCAGCTTTATACACTAAACAAAAAACAACAGAACTGCAAAGTTATTTATATGTTATAATGTTATTCTTTCATACAGTTTGCAAAAATAATTTAAGTAGACCAATTCATCCCAAAGTACACCATTTCTGAAGTGGAATACATAGACCTGTCTGATTAAGACAATTGTTGTACTACCTGTTCATTTTTTGAATTACAGATTTTGCTCTGCACTACAATGTATTTTTTAGGACCACTAAGAATTCCTTAGCCGAAAGGGGGGCTTCTATGATGTTTCTTCAATCTATTATCTGATTTTGTTTTGATACAAAAAACTCCTCAAAGAGAGTAAAAAACATTGAAAATGTAACAATATGATGTGGTACACATGTATGATCAACATGTTTTATTTTCTACTATACATTGTTTTTATGCGATCCAGGAGAGAGATACAGGGTGTAACATGATGGATGTGGATGATTTGGATGGGCTCCAGGAGAGCCTGGTCCGTTCTGGGCTCTGACTCAGCTGCTGCATGGAGGACATGCAACTCTCCAGGAAAGTCTGCATCTGAGCAGAAAAAAGCAGTTTTAGTTTCGTGCCTTAGAGCAGGGGTTCCCAAACCCCCGGGCCGTGAACCGGTACCGGGCCGCGGAGGTGTTACTGTCGGGCCGCGAAATAGCTGTGAGTTTATTGTAATATTTGCAGAATTATAAATATATACAAATATTTTATCATAATGTTTTTTAATGTTAATTTTCGCACCTATACCAGTCATATTATTTAATCCAGTAGTTTAGTTAAACTTTCACCAGAAAACCGTTGAAAATGTTTTTTATGATGTTCCGAGGGATTCGGCGGATCAGGGTCTCAGCCTCTTGTGCGCACGAGAAAGTTACCGGTGCGCCAAGTAGGAAGAGGAGCGCACAGGAGACAACCGTTTCATCGCAGACTGTTATGTTTATGTGGGGAAATGGCAGTGCATACATTATTTGAGATTATATTTCAAACTCGGACTTCATTTTAAGGACATGTCGGCCAGGGGTGTAGAGCTATTTGTTTAAGCACCGGAAAAACAGCAAAACAGGAGAGTCTGTAAACCAGTCTGCCTTGATCTAGAATTCATGTCCGGGACTCTCATAGTATCTTGCTGCCCACAGCTTGTATTATAGAAGGAAAATCTCCTTCCACTTCATGAAATGGCTGCAGCTCAGGAGGCAGCGGGACGTGTAACTCCGCCTCTGAGAAGTGCAGCACCAGCACGCCGAGAGCGGTGCCTTTTTTACGCACCGCCTTCACTGTGTTTACCTTCATCAGAAAAGCTTAAGAGTGACTGCAGGCTGCTACGTGTTAACCACACATACCTCTACACACACCTCTACACACATCGAACTGCCCGAGTATTCCCCCTATTACTCGTTTTATGAAGGAGTTGTCCGGTCACCAAGGCGCATGATGTGTGTGTGCACCGGAACGAACTACACTATCATAAACAAATGCCAGTGTCACACACACACACACACACACACACACACACACACACACACCTCACACACACACACACACACACACACACACACACACACACACAACACACACACACACACACACACACACATACACACACACACACACACCCTGGCAACCGGACATCTCCTTCGTTTTCCCAGCATTCACTGGATTATCCGTAAATCATACAAACCAAAACGTTGATTTATCTGTTTTCCCGTTTTGGTTTAAAAACTGAATAACGTCGTTTTTTTGGTTTCCGTTTTTCCGAAAAAACACTGGTTCTTTTTTTTTTTTAAACGTTGTTAATATGTTTTGGATGCATATTGTTCTACAGGGTATATGCAGGAATCCTAAAGTCACATTTAATACCTTTTAAGACATTTTTTAAGACCCTTTCCATACATTTTAAGACCTCATCGCCACTTCGAGTTCTAACCAGTCACACTTTACCTCACATTTACTATATACAGTGTTGAGATCTCCATATCAAGTGAATACTAAAAACGAAAGTTAATTATAATCAAATATGATCAATCATATTCTTGTATAAACCCATAATGAAAATGCTTCTTGATGGTTTTTGAATATGTATGTATGTTTACAATTTTATCTGTTGCTGTTTTGATAACTTTGCGTTTTGAAAAGAGGGTGTTGAGATCTCCATATCAGGTTGAATAATTAAAACGAAAGTTAGTTATAATTAGTGGTGCACGATAATTATCGGTCCGATATTAGGAATTATGACGTCATCCTGATAAACTCGATACAAGTATTAATAGCCCCGATAATATACAATATATTTTTTGGGTAAAAAAAAAGAAAAAATACTGCGGTGTGGGTGGATTGGGATGAGTGGCGCTTGTTTTTCACTCGGCTCCTCCCCGTTTTGCCAGTACTGTGGTATTAGTGGTTTAGGAAAGAGGGGAGTTTTTCACAAATCCAGCGCTCCCTAACTCATGCCTGGCTGTGACGTAAATGGTGTGCGGCCGTGAAGCCAGGACCAGTAAACAAACATGTCGTTGGTAGTATGGGACTATTTCAAAGTTTCAGAGTTAGATAGTTCGCTTTGCTATTTGTATTAACAAATGCAATGCAGAAGTTCCACGAGGAGGGAAAAAGGCAACGAGGTATAATACTTCAAACCTGATTAGTCACCTGAAACATCGCCATCGCTACGATGGTGTGTTAAAAGCGTACGAAGACGCCTGCGCTGCTAAACTAGCGGCGAATCCAAAAGCCAGCTGCAAAGGCACCGGGGCTTTTTCCTATTGACGAGGCTTTTGAAAAAGGCAAGAACTTTATTTGGGAAAATAAATATGGTCACTTTGAAGAGTCAAAACTGTTCTTGGCTTTGTTTTGTTCATAGTAGTAATGCTCATGTCATTTGCTCACTACTAGTCTTTTTTTTTACCACCAGGTGTGCAAAAACTACAGGTACATTTAATATATATATATATTATATTATTATCGGTATCGGTATCGGTCTTGAGAAGCAGGAAGTTATCGGTATCGGTTTCAAAAAACCAATATCGTGCATCCCTAGTTATAATCAAATATAATCAATTATATTCTTGTATAACCCACAATAAAAATGCTTTATATTTTAGGTTTTTCTATATTTACAGTATAAACAAAACACAAGTGGTTTGTTAAATTGAGTGTGAGGCCTAATGATTTATGGGTGTCACTGATAAGGGAGAAGGCAGTTTCTTCCCTCCCCTCTCACAGCAGTACACAGGGAGGGGGGCTCCTGACTTAAGGAGAAAAAACTAAGAGGCCCCAAAAAGGTGGTTATGTCATAGCCGAGAATAATATTTTGAAAGTCCTGCAGGGGTCATGTCCTTTTTACACAAACATGGGAAGGTGTGTCTTATGCCATAGCCAATAGAATATGTCTGGTCATGTCCAGTCCTGTACATCAGAGGCCATGCCCAGTTTCCACAAATATGGGTGTGGAGGAGGTGTCTCAGTTTTTTCTATCCTGTTTTCGAGCATAAAGACACTGGCGGATGGGGAGGAACTTTCTTTTGGGAGAGAGCGAGAGAGAGGGGGGGGGTTCCCCTGGTATACTCTCTCCCGGTAAGCTCTGTCCCTCAGAGCTGGGTTAATAGCTCTCGATAAGGTTCTCTCAAACTTGGTAAATATCTCTCGAATTTCTTTGTTGAAGGCTGAGTGAATTTCTTTGTGAAAGGAGTGGAATGAAAGAAACTAGTCCATGCATTTGTTACTTCAAGGCTGGATTATTGTAACTCCTTATTATCAGGGTGTACCAAGAAGTCAGTCAAGTCGCTTCAGCTGATTCAAAATGCTGCAGCTCGTGTACTAACCAGAGTTAGGAAAAGGGACCACATTACTCCTGTTCTGGCTGCCTTACACTGGCTCCCTATAGAACACAGGATATAATTTTAAATTCTTCTTCTCGCCTACAAAGCCCTTAATGGGCAGGCGCCATCTTACCTTAAAGAACTCATTATACCCTACTGTCCTACTAGGGCATTGCGTTCCAAGAATGCAGGGTTGTTGGTTGTTCCTAGAGTCTCTAAAAGTACAATGGGAACCAGAACCTTTTCTTATCAAGCTCCACATTTGTGGAATCAGCTTCCAGTTTGTGTTCGGGCGGCAAACACCCTATCCGTTTTTAAGAGTGCGCTTAAGACCTTCCTTTTTGATAAAGCTTATAGTTAGGGCTGATTAGATTCAGCCCCTAGTTTTGCTGATATAGGCTTAGTTTGAATGTGTGAATTAAAGTTTCATATTAGAACATGATCACAGCATGATTAGTATGATTATAATGTTGTAAAGAGAGAAGGTAAAAACCCTGTATACGTTTGGACCTAGTTTTCTTCAAATAAACTGATCCCACCTTTTGGATTGGGACAACTTAAAAGACATCTGCGCTCTCCTCTCCTGCTTCAAAGGTAAGATTGCACCCTGCCACTCACACTTACGGCCCGTCCACACTACAGCGTCGACAGCGTCGACAGCTTCTATCTGCCCATTCACTTTGAATGGGGTGACGTCACGTTGCCTCGCTTTTTCGCCGAACTGAATTGTGGGTAGCATAGCGGTCCGTCTCCAGCGTCAGAAGTTGAACAATGTTCAACTTCTGACGCCGGAGTAGCCAGCGCCAGCCAATCAAATCCCGTTTCGGAAAATCTGACAGCTCAAACCGTAGCCAATCAAACCGCGTCTAAGCTGGGAGAGATATCCTGCCGTTCATTTCTATATTTAAAAAAAATATGGAGGAGAAACTAATTATCGCCGTAGCAAATCACCCGGTTTGTATGACCAGACCCTCTTCACCTACCGGGATACAAACCGGAGGAACCAGGCATGGAGGGAGGTGGCAGAGACAGTGGGTGAAACTGGTAGGTTTTCGCCTGTTTGGGGAGTTTATATATATATTGCTCCCATAAATCCCCGGGGGTTTTTGCTTTGTATGTCGGGGGCGGGAGATTCATGTGATTGGTTGTTGGTCGCGTTGCTTGAATAAAATCCCCAAGCTTCAGACACGCCCAGCTCCAAGCTTTTTTGAAGCTGTAGTGTTGACGCTAGGGCTGCACGATTCTTGCTCAAATGTGAATCACGATTTTCCTCCATAAGAATTGAGATCACGATTCTCACACGATTCTCATCGTTTCAATGAAAATATTTATTGCACAAAAAAATGTAAACAGACAACATTTCAACACGAATTCCACCAGCCTGCTGTGTGGTCATTAAAGATTCTTATCTAATCTAATATAATTTGTCTCTCTCGTAACAAAAACATAACTTAACAAAAGGATTAACTTAAATACTGCAGTCAACTACTGAATATAAAAACGGAACAGAACATAAAGTTACAGCTTTAGAATAGATGTAAATAAAGCCTAGCTGCCTAGCTACTAGCACAGTCCATCTACTGCACTAAGATTCTTGGCTAAGAACACCAACATGTCGACATTCTGAGGTTTCAGGGAGGAACGCAGGCAAGTTACAATGTTCCCCCCTGTACTGAAAGCCCTTTCTGAAGGGCTACTGGTCGCAGTAATACATAAGTATTTCCTGGCAAGCATGGACAATCTTGGGTATTGTCCCTTGTTGTCATTCCACCACTTAAGGGGTCATCTTCGCTGTCGATATTTCTTGAGAGTAGATATGCGCCTAGTTCCATGTCGACAACTTGCTCGACTTCAGGTGCAGCTGCCTCGTTCCCCTTTGCTACTTTAAAAAAAGCTGCCTAAGGTCTTTCTCTTCTTCCCACCAGGGGGGGGCGTGGCACTGGAGGAAGCTGTGGTGGGAGTGAGGCTGAGACTCTCCTTGAAAAGGGAAAATAGAATTTAATAAAAAGGTTAACCTTAATATTCTACACTTGATAACTTAAGTAATATATCAGCAGTTAAATACTAAGGTTGATAAACTAAATAAATGTTCCCAATTAATATAAACAGTTACCATAGTAACGATGCTAGTCATCTCATCCTTCAGTCTGGTCTTGACAGTGGTTTTGTTGTCCTCGCTGACATAGTCCAGTTTGAACCTTGGATCCAGACTTGTAGCTATGTCGAGCAGCGCCTGTGTCTTTGGATCACTGTACTTCTCCTGAAGGTACTGCAGGATGGTTGTTTTAATCGAGCGAGCGAGTGCAGGGTCGTCTTCCTTCACTGCCATCAGTGATTCGAAGAGGTGGAGGACTGGCTTCACAGAGGAGACAGACACATATTGCTCCCCTGAGAGCGCATCTGTGAATTCTGCCAGTGGTGTTAGTGTCTTGTCAATCACCTCAAGAACCTGTATGTCTTGCCATGTCAGAATGTTACCTCTAGCGAACTTGTTCCGGTCAGTGTTCCGGGCGAGAACTCGTGTAATGGCCTCTTGTTGTTCAAGGACCCTGTTGACCATAGCTAGACGGGATCCCCATCTTGTTTGGCAATCCGTTTTGAGCTTGTGGTCAGGTAGATTGAGGTCCTTTTGTGCTTGTGCAAGCTCTCTCTTCCGCTTCCAGCTGTGGCTGAAGCAGCTCACTATCTTTTTGCAGACCCCCATAGCACGGCTGATTCGTTCATCTTTCATTGAATTCTCTAGAGAGAGAGAAACAATGTTCAACTTTGCTGTAAAAACATGACAAAAAAATAATGGTTTAAAATGGTAAAAAAAATATATATATACATATAACAGTAATTCATTAAGGCATAGCTAAAATGTAATGCACACTAAAATCCTCACTATAGGGCATAGCAGTGGCAGCCATGTTCTGGTTCCATCATTCCAGACCCCATTAATTTTTCCCATAGAGATTTCCTAAAATATTTATATCAAATAATTTAAGGCTAGAATCAAGCCATCCAGGATACTGGTGAATCATGACCATAACACATTTGATTCTATGAAAAATGAATGAATATTTAATTATATGATATTCTACATTTAATAAATACCCTTTGTTTTGCGGTTTTAACTTCTTTTTTTCCACAAAATCAAACATGTTATGGTCATGAATCACCAGTATCCTGGATGGCTTGATTCTAGGCTTAAAATAATTTATATAAATATTTTTGGAAATCTCTAAAGGAAAAATGTATGGGGTCTGGAAAGATGGAATAAAAAAATGGCCTATTCATTTAAGCCTGAGTATAAATATATACCCAAATGGCGGGGGGTACTATAATATTTAGACTATACATTACAATTTTAAAATGGTGGTAATTAGTTAAATGAAATAAGATTTATTTTTTTAAATACATAAACATGTTCAGTACAATATTGACAGTTAATTTAACTCTACACTCTCAGACTTAAATGAACAGAGGACTTTACTGTGGGATGGATTGTACTCAGCTCACCTATAGCCAGATGTAGCCTGTGGCCAAAACACTGGAGCCTTGTCCAGTTGTTTATGTCGGATGCTTTTATGATGTTTGATCCACTATCTGTAGTGATGCACACCATCCTTTTCGGATCCAAGCTCCAGGACTGGAGACTTTCCATTAGTCCCACTGCAATTTCGTCGCCCGTGTGGTCCACGGGGAAGAAAGCTGTCTGTAGGCACCGACTTTTCATTGTGAAATCACTGGTGATGAAATGCACCGTCAGGCTCATATATGGTTCCATGGTACGACTGGACCACAGGTCAGTTGTTGTCGCAAAGTGCTGGACATCTTTCAGTTCTGTCTCGACTGTGGTTCGAGTCTTGTAGTACATGGCAGGCAATGCAGTACGTGAAAAGTAGTTGCGGGAAGGCACTGAGTACCGCTTATCCAGCGTCTTCATCAAGTTCTTGAACCCTTCATTTTGAACTGTATTTATTGATGCCATATCCTTAGCCAAGTAAAAGGTGATGGCTTTCGTTATCTCTTTGTGCCTTCGTGAGCTGTGTGCATATGGTGTTCCGCTGAATAACGTTTGGCTTATGGATGTTTGCGTCGTTGTCTGCGGGTTTGATATTTGTTTCGGGTTGTCCTTCTTTGCTAAAGTATACTGTATTTTATGGTGACGTTTTAGGTGATTTAATAGGTTTGTGGTGTTACCTGACGTCGTTGCGACGATGCGAGAACAATGCTTACAGTGGACGACTTTTTGTAAGTCATCATCAGGATCAAATCCAAAAAAGTTCCACACGCTGGATGAATGTGGTCCTTTTTTCGGCACAAGCACAACTTTCCTCTCGCCAGAGTCGCCACCGGGATTTTCATCGGTGTCATTGTCCTCGACCTGCTCCTCGTAACTAATTTCTGTGTCACTCATTTCTGTTTTTGTTGTAATCAGTGCTAAATTGCTAAAACTTCTGTAAACATACTGCCGGCTCCTGCCCTCACGTGTTGCAGTCAGTGAGTGTTGCCAGGTATACTCATTATAAGCCACATTGGGATAATCTTTCTGTAAAGTTGCTTGGTAGTAAGTATTAAGTAATAATGGTTGTTGCGGTTTTGAGATTGTAGATTATTATTTTCAAATAGCCGACCCAACATATATAGGTTTAAAGTCATGTTCTTTTGCGCTTGTTTTCATAGACCTGGTTGCTTATTCCTTCCGCAAAAACTGGCAACCCTAGTGGCTGCAGCGTTAACACTGCATGAGAGGAGGAGAGACAGACAGAACACTACCATTTGCATGCGATCATGGTACTTTAATGTTAAATGTATAGAGTATATTTGCTTTACATCGTTTAAGTATGATTGACATTGCAAGTTGGTATTATTCAGAAGCAAAATAATTAAAATAAAAAAATAAAAAAATCTGCATGACGTCATAGGATCGCCGTAATTTAGAAATGAGATCGCATAGGTGTCTGAATCGAGATCACGATCTTTTTTCGGTTAATCGTGCAGCCCTAGTGGACGCTCCGTTAGGTAGGGCCACACCTCATATACTGATATCAAAATCCTTCGGGATCGCTTAAACAGATTTAAGAGAGTTGTCTGAATTGAAACAGCAGTTAATTGAACCTGGTTCTCCAGGAGTTAAGAGGTGAGATCTTGCTGACGTTGGTGGATCTGAGCCAACCAGTAAACTTACATAGACTCAATAACTTCGGTTAGGTCAATTAGTAGGTCTGAGTCATTTCCCGGAATAAATTATCAGCCCTCACCGACTCTTACAACAGTATGGATTGTAAGATAGCACAACAAAACAGCTTGTGATAACTCCTTATCATAATTCAGATAGAACAAAGCACAAGAGAATGAATTGTGTGACTAACCCAATGCAAGGTTTATTAGAAAAAGAAACCATTAGAAAGTATTTGATTTAGGCATTGTTCCCAAGAGATAAAACAAAAAACGATATATATGTTAACACTTTTCTCGAGGGTCGATATGTGTTGACTTTACTTTTAAATAGCAGATCACTGTGACCGGATATAGTTCGGCTTAGTGACCGTGTGTCTCTTCCTTGGAGGAGCAGCATCGGCCGAACTCCGCTGCTCCTGCGTGCAGAGAGTCTGCAGCGGTGTGTGTCAGCGACTTGCAGTCAGGGGAGGCACAGATTGGCTATCGGCTAACACTCTTCCCCCCCCCAAGCGGAGCAAGGCAACGAAACTTAAAATAAAAAGCAGAATTTTACGGCGCGCTATGGGGCCGCGCGCTATGGGGCCGCCTTGATGGGGCTTCCCGACATGTCGTTGCAGTAAATTAAAGGGTGTTTCATGTTGTCGTTGCTGTGGACCTTCTTAATACCTTGGAAAATGCCGTTTAAACTTTTTAAGACCCCGCGGACACCCTGTTCTAGTATTTGTTCAGGCTGTTACATACAATTAGTCTCTGTTGCTACCTGCTGGTGAGTAAATATTAAAATCAGTTAAAATTGACAACCGGTCCGCGATTTTTTATGTGTCTGCCGGTCCTTGGCACAATAAAGGTTGGGAACCCCTGCCTTAGAAAAACACAGATTCCAATTTGATAGGATACTGAGCAGTCCATTGATGCATACTGTACTAGAGCCCTTTTCAGTCAGGGGTGTGCCCGATAAAGGCCTGAGTTTAATTAGGGCCTGTATCCACAGATGCCTTTTCTGAGTGCAAGCGTTCTTTTGAAATTGTTTCTGATGAGGGTGCAACCACCTTGAGGACAAAGTGCTGCACCCAGCGTCTTTTTCTGAGCGCTTCAACGTTTTCGTGGGGCCGCACTTTATGCTTCAAGAAAAACACTGATGATGTTAAGCTAATTTCCTCGAGTAGCTGGGCCGAGCTGACCCTGAATGTTGCTGCTGGTGAGTTTTGCTTTCATCTACGTGAGCGTATCATCCTCCTCACTCTACAGTTGTCAGACTGACCAGTGAAGCTTATTCATACAAAGTGTGAGAGGAAGCATGTTCTGGTTGATGAAGAGGACGTCGTTACACATTGACCCACGGCTACTCTCTATATCTCTCTCTTTCCCTAACAGAACTACAATGCTAAATCACTGCAAAAACACAACAAGCAAAATGATACTGTTTCCACTCAGCAGCTTACCTTAGCTCTGACTTCTGGCTTCACAGACCTCAGCCAGTCAAAGGGTGTCCTGCCTTCTCTATCATGGAGTCTGGTATCTCCTCCTGCATCCAGCAGGCCACTCACCACTAAAGAGTTACCGGAAACAACGCCTGCATGGACTGGGGTGCTCCAGTCCTCACAGCGACTGCAAGAAAGTTGATTGTATTTATATCCATCTTTGTGTTGTGAAACAGTGAATACAAACAGCAGGGGGTGACAAAGTCACTGTTTTTCAGGTCACGAGTTCAACTCAAGTCTTGCTTAGAAAGTCATCGGTCAATTAAAGACCAACAAATCTCAAGCCAAGTCCTAGACTTTGTCACAATATGTGCCTTTCACCAAATATGATGTCAATAAATAAAATGTAAACACAATTGATACATTTCCAGCAAAATGACATTTTGAATTTTAACTTTCTACTTTTTTTGTTTTGTTTAAACAGTTAAAATAATTGTATTCTTGGGACTAGGGTTAAGGTACGATAATGCTTAATCGTTACAAAAACATTGCATCTACTCAGGATATTAGAGTGATGTTACAACGAGAGGCTTAGGAATGGTCTTTGGCCGAGTATGGACAATGGTTTACAGAGACAACATGGACGAGACAGCAAAGAAAAAAATGCAGGCCTTTTAACAACTAAGTATGGCATTAACATCCACAGCTCCAGCTGATATAATGTGCTGTCCAAGAAGTTAGTCATTTAAACCAGCAAAAAAAAATTAGGAGTCTACACTAGGGGTGCAACAACTAATCGACTTAATCGATTACCAAATTAGTTGGTAACTCATTCAGTCGTCGATTCGTTGGTGACGTCATCACATGTGTTCTACACCCCGTTAAGCTCCAACGTTATCGCTCTTTTTTATCGGTACAGGAGACATTTAAAACATGTCATATGTATTATTGCTACATAAACATTATATCGCAGTCTTAGTGTCGCCAACTCCGTTTCTAATATGCAATATGACTACAAAATGCGTCTATAATGTATTTTCGATCTTCCCAATTCAGACGAGAGATCTCTCCCCCGCATGCTTGCGAGGGGGCGGGGCAGTTTACACACACACGCAGCTGCTACATGCAGCAACACACACACACACGGAGGAGATGGCGGAGAGAACGCGCTCCGAGGTGTGGTTAAACTTTACCCGTCTCGATGTGGACAATGCTCGTTACCAAAAGTGCTATAAGAGTTTAGCATGTAAGGGCGGTAACACGAGCAATTTGTCTAAACATTTATCAAAAGTGCTCCACATTCAGACGGAGGAATGTACCGGGTTCGACCGTCTTTCTAGCAGCTCTGTAGCCCCATCCACGAGTAACGTTTCCACGTCAGGTGTTATGTATGCTAGCAGCAATACACAGAGTTAACTCAGTTATACAAACATGGGTTAATGATTAGAGGAAACAGAGTTATTTATTTTGTTAAAGTTTCAGCTATTCTGTTTACAGTCTGTCATCACATTATTTAATATGATTTGTTAAAACATTGTTGTTTCTTTTGATGTGAAATATTATGCATTTAATTTAAATAAAAAGCAATGTTAGTTTTGTTCACAATTTGTTTAGTTAGTTTACCTTATTTCTTGTCAAAAGAACCGTTAATACTATCGTTAAAAGGACCGGATCGATAAGCAGTATCGATATAAGTAGTGGTACAGTTAAAACCTTAACGATCCGAATAATCGATTAATCGTTTCATTAATCGATAGATTAATCGATTATCAAATTAGTCATTTGTTGCAGCCCTAGTCTACACGCTGAAATGTTTCAATATTTGAATGTGATACTGAGCTGATTCAGAATATATCTATTTTCAGGAATATAATAGTTATTATTCTGCAATTTTTTATGACCTACTTTGTTGAATTTGGGATTAAGGAGAAATGTAGTCATTACACGTTATACAAACTTAAATCCAAATGAACAACAAGTCGAAATTGCAGGCCTAGTCGAGTCTTAAGTAATCTGATTAATGATCGAGTCCAAGTCATGTGACCATAGGCGACATCTCTTGACTATTTTGACTACAACTCAACGTTGCTTTTAAAACAAAACCATTCCCTCATGATGACTTTAGAAGCAATCCTAATCAGAATGAATATGGTTTCTTAGAATTGGGGCCAGGCGCACACTCACTGGTTGGGGTCAGCTCCGTAATGCAGAAGCAGCTCCGTCACCTTCACTTGGCCTGACAGAGCAGCACAGAAGAGTACCGTCTGACCCAGATGATTCACACAGTCCACATCAACACCTGGTACACATAAAACATTGTATAGGGTAGGCCTGTGGTGCAGTGGGTTGTGAGTTGGTATTCGGATCAGGAGGTCACAGGTTCAAACCCCACTGCAGTCAGCATGTCGTTGTGTCCCTGAGACACTTCACCCCAAATTGCTCCTGTGGGGATTGCCCACAGTATTGAGTATGTTAGTCGCTTTGGATAAAAGCGTCTAACAAGTGACATGTAATGTAATGTAAAAAAACGATAAGACCAGGTTTTTGTTTTAGGTCTGCATTGTCAAGTGTAAGTATTCCTGTATTGAAAGCTCTGGGGTCGAAGTGTAATGTACTAGAGCAGTGCTTCTCAAAGTGTGGTCCGCGGACCACTGGTGGTCCGTGAGTGCCCCCTAGTGGTCCGTGAGTATATTGGTACAATTTCACATTTGAAATAAATAAATAAATTTAAGTTTTCCGCACTCTCGCGGGAATATCTCCGCAATGGAGCGAGCTTAAGTTTCACTTTCGATTGCATGATATAGCCCAGATAAACACCTTCATCACACATGTTGCCACTTGTTTGTACCATTTTCAGGCGATTTGTAAAAAACGATGTGTTTTTGGATATTTGTGGAATTAGGTGGTCCGCGAGTGTTTTTTTATTGGTTAAGTGGTCCTTGGTATGAAAAAGTTTGAGAAACACTGTACTAGAGAGTAAAGAATTTGTCTATCTTCATGATGGCAAACCAGGGGGGTATCATTACAAAGCAAAGTTACATACCCTCATTCAGCAATTTCTCCAACTTGGTCAGATTTCTCTCCAAAGTGTATTTGTGCAGTCGAGCGTGTGCACGTCCAGTGGTAACAACCCCCACATGAACAGGACAGGGGAACGGCAGCGCAGTCATCCTGTCTCATCCGCTTCACCCAGAACACCTGAACTACAGTATGGAAGATCATTACAGTTGGAACACATATATTTTCATATGTCCTACGGAAAGTTACTGTACTTAAGTAAATGTTGAGGTACTTGATATTAACTTGAGTATGTCCTATTATAATTTAATGTTGTATCCAGTGTTGGGTGTAACGCGTTACAGTAACGTAACTACTTTTGCCGGGTAAAAAGTAGTGTAACGCACTACTACGGAAATTTGGTAACGTAGTTTCTTCTTCAATTCGCCGCAACGTTACTTTTCCCAAGGACGAGTGACAGTGACACTGCCTACTCAGCTGTGTGCTTACTGTAAACCGTGATCGTTTTTCGTCGAGGAGAGAAGCTTAACAAGGAGACTAAATGGAGTCTCTGAGAAGGTTCAAATTGTACTTTAATTAAAAATATGGCGCGGTAATGTTACAAACAGGATATTGTTCAGTCAGGAGAGAAAGGCTGCAGCTTCCTCTCCTCTCCCAGGTGCTGGCCGTGCCGAAGAGAGACCACAAGCCTTCGTCTTTCCCGCTTGCTGGCTGTTCGCTCCTCCTCTCTGTGAGCTGTAGTGACGTAAGGGACTTCCCCCCTCGTTCGTGTCCGATATCGCGTTAAACAGAGGATTTCGACATTTTACATTCATTGCTTACTTCCACGTGCCTTTTCTCCTCCTTATCTCTTTCATAACTTTATATGTAATACATGTTAACGGCGTCAATAGCCACTTTAATGATACTAATGGACGGTAGTCCCGGATGTCGTCATGAAGGATTTTCAGAATAAAAGCTTGGTATTGAGAACTTCCGGTTTTTTCCAGAATAAAATAGCATTTAAACTGACGGTATGTTTAAGGTACATTATGCCATAAAACATTGATTTTAATTTCTAACATTACGCATTAGGCACGAGCTCTCATTCCACACTGTACGTGATAGAGGCTGGCCGCTGGTGGTGGCATGAAGACTGAAGAGCAGTGATGGCAAGCGAGAAGCAGGCGCAGCCAACGCTAACATTCGAGGGATGGAGGTATTCCCATTACTTCGAACTTGTTGAAACTAAGGGGAAAAATGTGAGTGTAAGGTGTACGTTGTGCCCTGGCCAGAAACTTGTGTCCACTGCCGTTAACTCAACTGCCAACCTCACCAAGCATTTGAAAGGAAAACATGCTAGCAGGAAGCTAGTAGCTCAAGATCCCCGGGGAAATGATGATATTTCGAGTCCAAGCCTATTTAGTAGCCTATTGATATGATTTGCACTAGCTTTGCACCTATTTTGGGGCTAGCCTGTAACCCTTAATGATTATGATTTTATATTGATATTGTTTGATATTATTGTTTAGTGGTGGTGTTGACGCCTATAGCCCAATGCTCTGTGGCATTTTTTTTATAATAAAGAGCACAAAAGAAATATCTGTTATGTCCTCCATAGTAGAACTTTATGTAAGCCTACACATTTAGGAACAGAGATGGGGTTCTGCCCAAAGTCGAGCAACATAAAAGTTACTTTCCTCGGAGGGTAACTAAGTAAAGTAAGGGATTAGTTTTTTAAAGAAGTAACGAGTAACGAACAAACACTACTTTTTAAAAGTAACTTCCCCAACACTGGTTGTATCCAACTCTACTATATATCAGAGAGAAATACCTCTTAGTACATGAGCTAAACTTAGGCTACTTGTTATGCAATATATCAGTGTTGTGCGGATTAACTTAACCTTAGCCAGCTAATTAATCAGTAATAATAGTCCTTTTATAAAATATAATATTAAATAACACAAGGATTATCGGAACATTAATGTTTAGTATAACGTTATACATTCCCCAACACATAAGCGACTTTGCCTTAACTCAGGGTTCTACTCAAATTTAATTTAATTTTAAAAATCAGGATTTTGCCAACATTTGAGTATTGGCGGTAAAGTATAAACTCAAAGACAACCACAGAGTCCATCAGGTTATGGGAGTGGCTATATACAGGACGGTCCTGTATATAAGGTCTCTGAAATGGCTATATACAGGACCGTCCTGTATATAAGGTCTCTGAAATGGCTATATACAGGACGGTCCTGTATATAAGGTCTCTGAAATGGCTATATACAGGACGGTCCTGTATATAAGGTCTCTGAAATGGCTATATACAGGACGGTCCTGTATATAGCCATTTCGGAGCTTGTATACAGGACGGTCCTGTATATAGCCATTTCAGAGAGCTGTGTACAGGACGGTCCTGTATATAGCCATTTGGCGTTGTGTACAGGACCGTCCTGTATATAGCCTCGGCCTCAGGTTATAGAAGTGTTGAATGTAACAAATAATCAAAAAGTTAGCAAAACTGCTAATAGAGGCTAGCTAACTTTTTTTACGTACAGTTTCTGGGGGAAAAACGAATTCACAATACCTTTAACCCATGCTCAAAAGGTATTATTTACCAAGAGCTTCATAAGCAATATTGAGTAGTAAAAAGTAACACTTACACAGCGCTAACAGTTGTGTTTAGCTAGTAGTCTGGTACCTCCCTGCTGATTGCTCTCTTCTCTCCCGCCTTTCGGCTACTCAATGCCGGTGTTGTGCCGTAGTTTGAAGCCTTGCCGTAGATTGAAGCCCTGTTCGCGGGGACGCGCAAACGTGACGTCATCGCCTGTATTGAGCGTTCGTCGACTCTAGTTTAATAAGCTTTTCTCTCTCTTTTGAATGATATATTTCCCATCAGATTAAACAGCAAACGGCTGAATAAATAATGTGCATACAATTGCGAGGAGGCTCGTTTTAAGGACACTTTTCAGATAGTCACAATCTTCGTATTGGAACAAACTTCCGTTTTTGAGTGCAGTCCCACTCTGCTATGTTCCTCCTTCCTACAGAACAGACAATGATAGGATAATATGTCATTACTCATTTGTCAGTATAGTCATATTTCTTAAAACCTTCTCTGTTGTTTAAGTGTCTGATAACCACGAATAGTAAGCAATTATATGACAGTAATGATATAACATATGTCAGACACTGTGTTATTTTCAAGCCTAAAAGATAATGTGTTCAAACTGGCTTCACTCGCTTTAATTGCTCCTTTGAATGTAATTTCTCTCTGTGGTTTCCTACTAAACACATGTTTGTATTGTAATGCCACTCATATTTTATTTTTAATTGTATTTTAAGGTGACATTGAATGCTTTGAAAGGTGCCCTAAAATATATTATTGTGTATTATTGATCTTATATCTGTGCCTATATCACACTATTAATGTTCCTTATTTTAGATCTGCACTGTTCTCTATAACATGTTCAGCAGAGCAGGTATTTCTCCCCCCCCCCTACAACTTTGTCCAGGACAGTCACAACTTCACCAAAATCACACTGGTGCTTGCTGTTCCCCTCTAGTTTGTGCTCACAAAAGCATTTCACTCTGGGCCCAGCAAGTCAAAAACTAAAGAGGGGCTTCCATATCCGGCAGTGCAGTTGCTAGAGCTGCCGGATTTTGAAGCGCCCCCTGTAATTTTGGCCAGGATAGTCACAATGTCACCAAAATCACACTGGTGTTGCCTGTTCCCCTCTAGTTTATGCTCACCAAAGCATTTCACTCTGGGCCCAGCAGGTGAAAAACTAAAGAGGGGCTTGAAAATCCGGCAGATCAGGTGTTGGTGCTGCCGGATTTGGAACCCCCCCTATATCTTTCTCCAGGATAGTCACAGACTCACCAAAATCACACTGGTGCTTGCTGTTCCCCTCTAGTTTGTGCTCACAAAAGCATTTTACTCTGGGCCCTGCAGGTGAAAAACTAAAGAGGAGGTTCCATATCCGGCAGTGCAGTTGTTAGAGCTGCCGGATTTTGAAGCGCCCCCTGTAATTTTGGCCAGGATAGTCACAATGTCACCAAAATCACACTGGTGCTTGCTGTCCCCCTCTAGTTTGTGCTCACAAAAGCATTTTACTCTGGGCCTTGCAGGTGAAAAACTAAAGAGGGGCTTCAAAATCCGGCAGATCAGGTGTTGGTGCTGCCGGATTTGGAAGCCCCTCTTTAGTTTTGTTCCTGCTAGGCCCAGAGTAAAATGCTTTGGTGAGCATAAACTAGAAGGGGACAGCAAGCACCAGTGTGATTTTGGTGAGTCTGTGACTATCCTGGAGAAAGATATAGGGGGGGTTCCAAATCCAGCAGGAAAAATACCTGCTCTGAACATGTTAGAGAACAGTGCAGATCTTCCCTATTGACACCAGGATTAACCTAGTCTAAAATAAGGAACATTAATAGTGTGATAGAAAATGAAATGTAATGTAATAGAGGCACAGATATAAGATCAATAATACACTTTATTTTAGGGCACCTTTCAAAGCATTCAATGTCACTTTAAAATACAATTAAAAAAAATAGTGGCCTTACAATACAAACATGTGTTGAGTAGGAATATATAAAAATGATATTCAAAGGAGCAATTCAAGTGAGTGAAGCCAGTTTGAACACATTATCTTTTAGGCTTAATTGAAAATAACACAGTGTCTGACATGATCATATATGTGATATCATTACTGTTATATCATTGCTTACTATTCGTGGTTATCAGACACTTAAACAACAGAGAAGGTTTTAAGAAATAGGACTATACTGACAAATCACATATTATCCTGTCATTGTCTGTTCTGTAGGAAGGAGGAATATATCAGAGTATACACTCAAAAACGTAAGTTTATTCCAATACGAAGATTGTGACAGATCTGAAAAACGTGTCCTTAAAACGAGCCTCCTCGCAATTGTATGGACATTATTTATTCAGCCGTTTGCTGTTTAATCTGATATATCACTCAAAAGGGTGAAAAAAGCATAGAAAACGGCGAAAGCTCAATACAGGCGATGACGTCACCTTTGCGCGTCCCCGCGAACAGGGCTTCAATCCACGGCAAGGCTTCAACCTACGCGCAGGGATGGGCAAATGGTGGACCGCGGGCCGCATGCGGCCCCCACCTCCTCTTTTTGCGGCCCTCAGATTAATTTATAAACAACGTAATTAAAAAAATAAAATAAAAATTTAAATATTTTTTTTGTTCACTTGTAGTACTGATACTGTCCACTAGACTCCTAGTTACGTCGCGAGCTGCGTAGATGATTTCAAATACCGCAAAAAATAATCTGTGACGCATTTGTGTGTATTGTGTTTGTTTCCCGGGGAAACCCTCACAAGAAACACCGGCTGTTGTTATGCCTGCTGTGACGTTAAATTGCCTCTTGTAATTGTGCTTAAAGCTTAACAAGCTTAACAAGCTTAAAAGTTGTTTTTATCATCTCAATTTGGCGAAACAAGTTTAATATTCTTAAAACCAAGACTTTGTTTATTTGAAATCAGATGAAAACAAACTGCACGGACCCTGCCGTGTTATCTATGATTACTATGCTTTTCATTCATAATTTCAGCGGGAGGGAGGGGGAGCGGCGCTGAGGAACAGCAGAGTGCGGGCTGACAGGTGTCTGTGTTGACGTTCCCCTTATTGTGGAATAAGGGGAATGCAGAGACTGGCTACAAGTGTCTTAGGTTCAAGTTAGACAACTAATGTCTGGGTTAGTGTTCATGACTTCATGTGTATGTCATCTAATGGTTAATCTCAATACACACACATTTTCCGTGCTTTCCAATAGTTTTATTCCACTGTTCAATACAAACATGCCACTTGTAAAAATGAAATAAAATGTCTGTGAACTGATATTTGTTTAGTGAGCTTATTAGAGGATGTTCCCATTTTTGGGGGATGTTCCCTTTGATTGTAAATTGTCAATGAAGATGTCAGACTTAGTATATTTGCTAATAATTACATACAACACATGGAATTTGTGTGTGTGTGTGTTCCAAGTGAATCTGCGGCCCCCTGGTGGCCAGTACATCAATGATGTGGCCCCCACCACCATCAAAGTTGCCCATCCCTGACCTACGGCATAACACCTGATATACAGCGACAGGCACCTCCACTGCAAGTGTGGATCAGTCTATGATGTGGATAGATAGTGTTCAGTCGTGGATCATGTGTACAGTGTGGGTTGCGGTTAATACAGAGCAAATATGTGAGTGTGCAGTCTATGGTGTTGGTCATATTTATATGTAACATGATATAGTGCATATCAATTACACCATCTCCTACCTGTGTGCCCGTTATGAATGTGCGTCAGTTAATAGATGACAGTTGGGTCCGTGTACGTTTTGTCAGTTTGATTTTTCGTTTAATAAATGTTTCATGTAAAAACTAAACTTATTGATGAATTCAAATGTTATCAAAGCTGCTAAAGGTGCAGCTTGTGAATTTACTCCAGGTGTAACTAAAGTCTTAATTAAGTGTTTATTATATTTCACATCATTAATCCAAATCTGCAAAATACCCAAAGATAGGCTACTTAATAAATGTAGTGTATGGAAAAGTACGATATTTACCTCTGGATTGTAGTGAAGTAGAATTACAAAATAGCATTACATAGAAAACTACCTAGTACCTCAAAATTGTACTCAAGTAGTACAGTTTTTGACAAAATGTACTTGTGGTCCAAAAAGGTAAAAAGAAGATTTAGGCTATCTGCCTTCCAAAAAGGAAGGCAGATAGCCTAAATCTTTTCGTCAGAACTTCCCACACTCCAGTATAGGGGGCGGTAACGAGCCTTAACGCTTGTTGTTGCTACCCGCCTTTAAACAGGACGAATACATTAGCAGTTAGCTTGACAGCCGGGTTCTACAGTAGTGTTTGGTCTACTCTGCTGTGAACAAGGTCAAGTTCCATGGCGAGAAGTACGGCCACCATGGCCCCTTTCGTGAACACTGGATAAAATGTTAATAACGCTGTGCTACGTCTATCTGTGGGTGCGCTTTAACAAGTGCTACTCGGTGCTCATCCGCAACAGCCTGTGCAGACTGAACAGCAGCAGCTTCAGCTTCGGCTTCAGACTGTGCTCCAGCCCGGCCTCAGCAGCTTCTCCGACCGAAGCACCCAGCCCGCCTCCTCCCGAGGACAACGTCTTCCTCCAGCTGGGGGACAGGGCCGTCTATGTCACGGAGCCTCAGGTTGGATACTGGAGCTAGCGCTGAATGACCTGATGTAAACAGTGTGTGGTGACTGATCCTGGGCCTGCCACAGACCCACAGTCTGTTTACATTTCTCATTTAGCACCAGAAGCAGGAAGCACTCAGATATTTGTATTCAGTAAAATACAAAATAAATGTTATGATATTCATAAAAGTCCTGGAATAAAAAACTTGACTTTTACATAAACCTATTGGCATAAAAAAATCCCCCTAATACACTCAAGTGTAGCTGTAAATTGGCCCTTCATACCCGTAGTGTGTATTTTGACAGATGGTCTACAGATATATATAATAGATATATATATAATATATATATATATATATATTAGTGTCAATATATAGTAATATTATTTAATTGTAATATTCTATTTTATGTTAATGTTTATTTAATTGTTCTACTCTTGTTCATTTTCACATTATGTGCAATTCCTTGTTTACATGCTGCTGTCTGTGACGAAAACATTTCTCAAATTGGGATCAATAAAGTGAATCTTATCTTAAACTAAGAGGATTGATTCACTTACAAACTAAAACCAAATCAGCAGTGTTTGATTGGTAAAAACAAACATATTTGTATACCTATAGTCCTATAATCAAAGATTGACATTAGAGGTTTATGCTCCAATCTCAGTCAGGTTTGATTTGATTAGATTATATATTTATTGATCCCACTTTTGGAAATTATTAGAAAGATAATGAAAGATGCATTTCACTAAAATAGACTGCAAATACACCTTCACTAGGCCCTACTTTACAACAAAAATATTTAAACAAAGGCTATTAAACATTATCCAAGTGTGCAAGTTGCAGTTTTTTAAAATACATTTAAATGAAATTGAGGCGAGGTGTTGTAGTTATTGCTGTTAGGAATGATTTCCTGTATCTGTCTTTGTGACAGTGGAGCTGAATCAATTTGTTCAGTTGAGTCGGGAGGCCTTCATTTTTGTGTGAGACTTGACCTACTTGTGTGAGACTTCAGTCACTTGAAACACTATTAAGATTTTGAGCCTGTGTCTTCTTATTGAAAACGTTGCAGCTTGTTTGTCATGGTGTCACTCTAACTGCCTTATAGTTTCTTCACAACTTGCTTGATGACTTTGATGACTTGTGTCACTAACTACTAACGGATGTGTAACAGCCTTGTATTGTTCTTTGTTCTCTTCTGTGCTGTCTGTATTGTCCGCAGGCATGTGATGACCTCAGCAAATGGACCGTGCTGTTGGGCTCCTCTCTGGTTTGTGGTCCACGCATAGAGAATATTTCATTCATCATAGAGGCGACAGGACACAGAGTGGGCTACCATTCTCCTCACACATCCAATCAGAAAGTAGGCACCACACCTTGCTTAACATGTCATTTCCCCAAAACAATCATAAATTCAGAAAAGCTGGCTTTAAGCAGAGATATTTTGCCCTGATTAACGCAACACCCAATTTTATTATTGTAAATGTTTCATTTTATTTGTTATATAAATGTTTTGTTCTTTCTATAGTTGAACTGCGTATGTAAAAAATCAGAAGCTGCTGATGCTTGCAGACTCTAACGCTGGGATAGATTTATTGCGAGTGCTTGTTGTGTCTTCCAGTAGCTAAAAACGTCCAACATTCTTACAGTATTTCAGAATCAACAGTAACGCAAAATGATATGCTTAGCATTATCAGTGACTGTGTTAGCCAACATAGTCATTTACATTTCAAGACTTCAAGACTTCAAAGGTTTAATGTCATAAACAATGTCATGAAAAACCTGGGTCACAGGTTCCTCAACAATGCAATACAAATACATAAAAGACATGAAACAGATACTTTTACAAAATAGTGCAAGCTCTGGAGTTGAGCAGTCCTATGGCCTGTGGGATAAAACTGTCCCTGAGCCTATTGGTCTTTGCCCTGATGTTGCGGTACCGCTTGCCGCAGCTCCACATATGAACATGGCCTCCATATTTGCATCTACAGTCAAACCTGACAAATATGTAATTTAAAAGAGAAGGCAGTTCAGGACTAGGATAATAATTAAGCCTCGGAATCTAGTCCAAGACATGATCCATACCTTCACTCAGGACAGTGATCTTTCTCCTCCCTTTTTATGCAAGTGGAATATCTTTTTTTGTTTTCGACAGCGCATGATGTCATTTATTAGGTTTTAGACCACCAACTGAACTAGTGAGGGGTAGCTGTGTTGTTATGACATGATGAGAGTGGTTCTTCTAGCATGTCAGTTTTGTTTTAAAATGTTGTATGAACCATAGACCCTGTCATTTGCTTGTGAGCATACACATTTTGCAGCATTTTGTTGCACTTTCCTGCAAGGCTTTTCTCTTTGTAATGCACCCCATATCGCCTCAATTCTTTCTCTTTCTTTCCTTCTCTCTTTCTCCTCATCTGTCCGCTTTTACTGCTCGTCCACACACTGCTTGAATGTTGTTCTTGCCCTGTGTTGTTTGTGTTTGCTTTGCATTAACAAAGGCTTAACCGTCCAAGCCTTTAGGTGGCTGCCTGCTGCTTTAATCTGTGTATACATTTGTGTTTACGCCTTGATGCTGCTTTATGATTATACTACTTAGATGATTCCATTCCAATGAAACAATCAATATGAGTTTAAGCTCAAAACGAATGTGTGTGTGTGTGTGTGTGTGTGTGTGTGTGTGTGTGTGTGTGTGTGTGTAGGTGCTGAAGTGGTCTGACTACTGCCGCCCTCTGGCCTGCAGCCCTGGGCAGCCCTTCAGAGCGGTGGCCCAGGCCAGCGTGGATAACTTCAGTCGTCTGGGAGTGGCTTTCATTGAAGACCGCCTTCAGCTGGACAATGGGCTTAAGCCTTCCAAGATAATCCGTATGTAAACTCAGTTCCATTTCACATTTACCTTCATCAGAATTCCTTTATTCGTCCCACAGAGGGGACATTTACATTGTCATAGCAAAAGTAAGGATAGAGACCAAAAAGAAAATGGAATAAAGGGAATGCCCATAATATTTCAAATGTGAAATGAACAGTTATTACAATTTACAAAGTACTCATTTGGTTAGAAAAGTAGCAGCAGCAGTGTTTATTAAATAAATGAAGTGTAACATGTCGAATTGATTGTGGTAGAAGCTAGAAAATGTGGTCAAATTATATATTGCAGTTACTTACTCTTGTTAGGGTAGAGCACCTATTTGGCCCAAAACATCTATTTAAATATTATATTAGATGTACTTTATTGATCCTCAGTTGGGAACTTGTTTTGTAAACAAGGCGTACACATGATTAAAGAAACAGAAAATATAATATAATGTACAGTAATGACACAATATAAAAATATACAGTTTAAGTCAGAACACACTATAATGGACTAACCTACTATTACTAAAAGATACATTCAATATTATGCAAAGTAGTTTCAGATTGTAATGCATTGAGGTAGAGTGTGAGTACAATATGTATACCTAATTATTTATTATTTGTAGCATGTAAAGGTTGTGTAAAGTCACCATACGAGTCACCACATTTCACTGACATATCTGTAACCTTCCCACAGCTGTCCTGCTCCAAGAATCCACTCTCAGTGAACTGTTGGAGAAGCAGTGTCCAAAGACTGAGACTTTCACCCACACTGGAGGGGGTGCTGCTGAGCGTCGTCCCCCGTCAGACCACCAGCTCCTCCAGTGCCCTAAAGGCAGCCTGCTCCTCACCCCGGAGGTGAAGAGGAGGCTGGAGGAGCGCCGAGGGTCGGAGCCGCTCAGAGGGAGCAAGGACCTGGGAGTCGTCTGTGACCAGGAGGACCGCTCCCTGGGGAATTATCTCCACATGGAGGGCCACAAACACCACCTCCATCTGTCCAGCTGCCACGAGTGTTTGGAGCTGGAGAACAGCACCATCCTCTCTGTCAAATACGCCTCAGCTGAGAACATTCCAGACCTTCCTGATGATGACTCAGGCGGGCTCGGGAGTGGAGATGAGACTTTGGATGATGTGGAGCCCGATGGAAGATTTTCTGGGCTGAGTGACTCTAAAAGCAAACCTCCAAATCTCCTGCTGTACACGGGGGGTTGCCAAAAGCGCTATGAAGCCGTGCGCCAGCTGATATCAGAGTGTATAGACATGGAAAACAACATAATATATCCCCTCCAACCGCAGCAGGCTCTGAGCGACCCCTGGCTGGAGAATACCAGGCTCCTGGTTCTGGCCGAGGAGGAAACTCTCACCCCCCAGCTTCAGACCCGTTTTCTCACCTACCTGAGCCAGGGGGGCAGGGTGTTGGGTCTGGCCTCCACCCTGTGCCCTGCAGGCCTGTGTCTGGAGGCCCGGGAGAGGCGGCGGGGGCAGGTGAGCAGGCTGAGCTTCACCCGGGAGGACAGCACGGAGCTGCAGCTCAGCGTGCTGGCCAGCGAGAAGGTCTACATCAGGGACACTCAGGGAGGGGGTGAGGTGGAGCTGTGGGGGGAGCTGAAAGGAGACAGCCCCCATCAGAGGGATATGGTTGTTGTCAGGGTAACCCACGGAGGAGATGGTGGAGAAGCTGTCCTCTGTCAGGTAAGGACCAGGGGAGGGGTACTTTTAAAATGTATTGCGTTAATATACTAATGAGTTGTAAAAATATATATAGGGCTGACGTTGTTGGAAACCTTAGTGTGAAAAGAAAAAGAGGAACATTATGCAAATGGGTCCCATTACCAAGTTAAGTGTAAAAATAAATCTAAATGAATCTAATAATTCAGAAATCCTAAAAACTAAGGTGAGATGTTATAAAAAAGTAAAACACCTCTTATTTCCCTCACAAGTTTCATGAATGTGTTTATTACAAGTACACCTCCCTTACAAAATACAAGTATTACAAGTTGTAATACTAGTATTTTAAACTTGTGATTAAATGGGATAAGTTAAGCTCACACACACTATTTTATGAACATATCGGTTCCCCTACTGAATGAAAAACAGAACAAATGAACCAAAGAAGGTGAAAAGCAGAAAGCAGATTCAGGCAGTGGGCGTATAGATACCTAGCCTACAGAACAGTACAGCTCTAAGAGAAGAGATAACATCTGATCCTTTACAACAAACACTATATGATCTTTCAACAGTATTTAGGTTTAGATCACCAACAGCTTCGTAATATATTGCTCTTAACTCAAATAACACTGTAATCTTCTTATTAATAATCATTTCTATAATAGGTACCAGTAATTTGCCTATATCTTTTTTATGTCACTGTGATATGTTTTACATATACAGCTTTTCTTATACCCTAATTACGTATCTCATTACATGTATTCCGGTATTACCAAAGCCTGGTAAAGACATAGGACAATATTGAAAGTGATGATTGTAGTAGTCAACAGGGATGAGTATGTTTTTAAATGTTTATGTTACGGTTTCCTTATCTGTTAGTTGCCCCTTTGAACATGTATGCAATGTTTCTAAAGTGTACCAGCCCATTCACACACAGTATAGGGAAGTGGAAGAACATTAGAACCACATTTCTATATTTCATAACCCTGGTTATGACAAGTTCCTGTTTCTGCTGAAAAGAGGGGAGTTTGTCCCAAAACGTGCCACTGTATTCACACCCTCCACCTGAAAGAAGGGCCTCATTCAGCTGTGAGTGGGACTACAGCCTCTAGAGCAGGGATGGGCAAATGGCGGCCCCCACCTCCTCTTTTTGCGGCCCTCAGATTAATTTATAAACAACGTAATAAAACATTTGTGATAGTGACTTCTTCGACCGGCCCACCTCGGTGCCGCCAGTAAACACTGCTACTAAATTGTCGGGGGGGCGGGGTAGTGACTTATCCGACTGGCCCACATCGTCCGACCGGCCCACTTCAGTACCGGCCCATCGGGATTCGTCCCGACCGTCCCGATGGCCAGTCCGCCCCTGGTTCACAGACCCTGCCGTGTTATCTATGATTACTATGCTTTTCATTCATAATTTCAGCGGGAGGGAGGGGGAGCGGCGCTGAGGAACAGCAGAGTGCGGGCTGACAGGTGTCTGTGTTGACATTCCCCTTATTGTGGAATAAGGGGAATGCAGAGACTGGCTACAAGTGTAATAATCGATTAATATTCGCCAGGGCTGTCTGATTTTCGAATTTGATCATGGTCAGTTTCTGGCATCCCTAGTTAGTGGTGGCCAGTACATAAATGATGTGGCCCCCACCACCAAAGTTGCCCATCCCTGATCTAGAGTGTAGGGGTCAGTTTGGAATTGGGCCACAGTGTGTGATAAAAGTTTTGCAGAACTGTCTTTGTCAAAATCTCCAGTCCCTCCGAGGACACATCCAGGTTCCTGTCAGGTTACAGAAGGTCACCTTCAGCTCAGGCAAGGCTGCGTTCACAAGCCTGTTTCAGAAAACGATAGTCAGGTGCCCACATGAGTGAAATGTACTTACTAATCTCCTCTTCCTTGCGTAGCTGCAGTTCAGGGATGTTACACATTTTAAACACACTTTTAAAGACTCTACAGCAGGGGTGTCAAACTCAAATACACAGTGGGCCAAAATGAAAAAGATGGGTACTAGTCGAGGGCCGGACTGGTTCAATGTTTATTGCGAAACTTATTGAAATGAACCTATTGCACATATTAAACCTGGAACTAACAAAGCTTAAATGATTGCCTATAAAAACAACAAAGAAAACAACAAAGAAAGAAAGTGCAGAAGGAAACATCCATTAAACTCAGTGTGCTGCTCTGTGATGCTAGTTCAGATACTTGGCATCTCATCTCGGGTGCAAGGTCATCAATGTTTGGGCTCAGGCTCTGAGCTGAGGAGACCCTCAGGATGGAGTGAAGGTGTGCGTGCAATATACCGGCGGGCCAGATCTAATAGTAATTCAAAATGATCCTGCGGGCAGAAATTAAATCCACCAAGGGCCGGATTTGGCCCCCGGGCCTTGAGTTTGACGTGCTCCAGAGTCTGGAAGGTACACACTTAATCTTTCTAACTCAGCTGAAGCCTCATAGTTTGCTTCAGTTAAACACTGGCAATACATTTGCACAAAATGAGAACTGTGGAATGTAAGGCTGCACAATTTCGAAAAGATAACTAATTGTGATTATTTTGACTGACTTTGACTGATCATTTTTGAAACATTATTCATCTAATCCTTGAAAAATACATTTAAAGATGTGTAGCACATTTTTTATTTTGACTAAGTAGAAGGAAAACTGTTTGTAGGACAGGAGTTCTCTGCAGCACCTCAAGTCTTCATTTAGATATTTTCACATATTTTGACCAAATATTGTAATTACTGCGATGTGGATATTGCACTAGTCCATATTGTCATTTAGATGTTTCCGGCATCACTAACCTTAGCATCACATTAAGAAGGGACCTCGTAATGACCAGTTTAAACAGGAGGAATGGTTGCAGCATGTAAGAACTGTTTCAGTGCACCTGATGATAAATGTGTTAGGGGCAGAATGCATCTGATCTGCGCCTGCAGTTAAGTCTTACTTTAGTGATACTCATACTAAATGTTAGCAGTTGGTGAATATTTATGTGGGTCTGACTTCTTCATAAGCTGCTCAGAGCAACAGTCCAGTATTTCATTTGAAATGGGAAAATGTTGAATTAAGCTGTAAGGGTAACACTTTTTTGGAGTGCTGTTAGCTCTGACTTTGAAACAGATTGTGAGGACATTTCTAAACTGCAAGTGCATAGAGATCAAATGTATGCTTGCATTGTCCATAGCATCATTTTTTACTTCCTGTCTGCAGGCACATCTGGAAATTGCTCCTGACTCCCAGAATGTACCACCTGAAGGTTTTGATGAGCTGAAGGTCAGCAATGCTCTGCGTTATGAAGTCCTGACAGAGATCCTCACCTCTCTGGGCCTCAGCTGTGAGCTCAGCCAGACCCCCACCCCAAGCCCAGTCCACCTGCTGGCCACCTCTCAGGTGAGACCCACCGTGATCGTCTGTCTGTGCTTTATAGGGCGCTGGGTTAACATGAGGTCAAAGTGACACCAGCGAGGATGACCCTTCTTTCTTTGATTTATTCCAACTAATATACAATATACATACTAATATATCAAATATACAAAGGTACAAGAAAACTAAGTTAGTTGAAGCAGAACGGTAGAAATCATGGCTTATAAAAAAAGAAGCTCTACCATTAGTTATCCAATGATATTGTTTTTGTTAAAATACCTCAAACCTTATGGTGCAATAACTACACACTTATACTCTTAAAAAAAGATCACAAAGTCTTTTTTTTATTCTAGAAATACATTTAAATACGAAACAAAGGTCAATATTTGAATTGGTGATTAACATACATTTGGGTAGCCTTTACGTAAAATATTCCTTAACTTTGATTTAAATTATTAATAAATAATTCTTGGCATCATTAATGTAATCCATTTGTCTGTGTCTCTCCTGGATCATTTTCATATCAGGATACAGGCATGAGTGGGAGTGCATGGATAAGAGCTTTTCTGATTCATTCAGAGTATATTATTTTTCAAAAGAATGTATACAATTCATAAAATGTGTTGTTATCTTTACCTTCTTGCTCACATTATCTGCCGTCTCTGAGAACAAATATCTATTCATCCTTCATCTAACCATTTATTTATATACACACACATTCTGAGTAGTAAGTAACACACACACACACACACACACACACACACACACACACACACACACACACACACACACACACACACACACACACACACACACACACACACACACACACACACACACACACACACGGACACACACACACGGACACACACGGACACACACGGACACACACACACGGACACACACGGACACACACACACGGACACACACACACGGACACACACGGACACACACACACGGACACAGTGAGAACCAGATTGTTTTTATTAAAGTTAATTGTATGAGCGGCAGCACCGTTGCCCTGCATGCTTCACACGTGGAAACACTTTTGCTTTCTAAATGTATGCAAATATATGAGCATATATGCAGCAGGCTAACATCAGGGCCGCGCTCAGAGGGCCAACACAAACCAGAGGGCCGTGGATCGGGCTTTGATCAGCTGTCACAGGGAACGACCCAACGAGCACCGGAAAACATTTCACTTTACACGTTCACTTTATCTTAAGACAATGTCTATGGAGATATCTCCTGTGTCTGTAAATATAAAAGACACAAGAGACCTTTGATTTAGCCAAGCTTTTCTAACACAGCTGATTTGGCAGAGACTACTTGGCAGATATTTTTGTTTTAAATGGTGGTCTATTTTGATGGAAAAAGCCTATCCGAGATGCAGGTTGGCAGGTGGGACCAGAAGAACTCTGCGGGGGCTGGTCTGAGATCAGGATAACTTCAGGTTTTGTTCACACTTCCATACCTGTATGTACATTGAAAGAAAGTGCCTCTCATCTCATTAATAAATAGCTCAACAGATATTTCCTAATGATACAAAAAAGTCATTTGAATTGAATTGGTGTCATATACTGTTTCATTTAGATACGATCATAAGATTGAGAGTTTATCAGGAATGGTTCTGTCTAAATGTCCCCTCTGCGGGACGATTAAAGGTCTTCTGATTCTGATAAAGGTTGTTTTTTAAGGATGAATGTACTGCAGAATGACCACTAGGGGGAGTTGGAGCTCCAGGTGTCGCTATAACAAGAATCCAGCATCTCTGGTCACATGGCCCCGCTGGCATCAGTGAAGTGAGGGATCCCATTCCTCCTTAGAAAACCTAAGAAAACAAAATAGTATAACGTTAGTTTTGGTAGAAGTAGTATTGTAGTTTCTTTTTTCTTCATTGTTGTATATTTGGATTGCTGTGTGACCTTTGACCCCGCTGCCCCAGCCACTTCCCGGCCGTGTCCCAACAAGAAGCAGGCTTATGGTAATTTGGGCCTGCAGAATTGTTTCCAGATTGTTGTGAGGGGAGCTGGTAGCCGTGTCCTCAACATGTCTCTGCTCCGAGTGAGTTACACGGCACAACGCTTTTACTAGACCTAAAGTTGGCGGCTTGATTTGTCCCTCAATATTGTAGTCTAGAGTCGCTAAAGCACGGATAGAGCCGGAGGTTTCCAGGAGTGATGTTCTCCGGAATTACTACTTGTTCTCAGCAGGTTACCAGAATAAGTCGGATTTGACAGATTCCTTCCTATCCATGTGTGAAAAATAAGTAATATTCTCACCTCGACTTTGAAATGAACGTATCTGAAGACCTGAAATCTAATCTCTATAATATTTTCTGTTTTGATTTGTTTGAATATATATATATTTGTCAAATTAATATCTGTGGGGTTTGAAAGGTTAGGTGGATAAGAATGTGAATGTTAAATTGGGCTCTAAGAAATAATGCACCTAAAAAAGAGAATCACTTTTTCAAAACATTTTCAAATAATCCACAGAATATAATATAACAATATAACACTATATATATATATATATATACTAGATTCCACACACAGACAGACTGTGTCCCATATGCTTACATTCACGGGCAATATTATGGGATCATTTAAGCTTTCTACATATATCACCATCGGATTTAAAATACTTTTTTATTCTGGAGGAAATTAGGTTTGACAGTTGCTCCATTTTAAAATAAATATTTTAAAATGTAGAACGAAACTATATACATACAGTTAAAGTAAAAATGTGCAATTAGATAAAATAAAATAATGATATTTATATAAACCCTAGAAGACAAAGTAAAATGTCCAATAAAAGATAAATAAAATAAAATATATATATTTTTATTACCATAATAAGTTGGAGTAAAAATGAGCACACTACAATATTGAACTTGTATATTACAATCTTTACAGTGGTTTATTTGTAATAAATATATATTAATTATGAATTGCTCATAATAATATGTATAACAGGCAGATGATAAGAATGAGATCCTATACAATAACCATGTATAATTCAAATGGAACCTTTAACATAATATGCATACATGTCACCTCTGTCATTTAAAAGAGAGACGTGGGTCAGTTGTGTATTTTGCAGCAGTGTGTGGCTGGTCTCACACCCACAGGACCATGCAGCAGCTGTAGGGCTGACACTCTGCTAGTAGCAGGACTCTCTGCAGGTGATGAAAGCCGTCTCAAACACACACTAATGTGTTCAGTGTGCTGGTGATCCGCGCGGCTGACTTCCATCTCTGCTCAGTGGGTGTTCCTGTTCTCAGCCATGAGCTGGTAAATCCCCGTTTCCCTCTGTCTGGAAATGAAGTGGCTTCTCCAGTTAAATAGAATCAGGACTGAAATGGATTTGCCAAAGACCCCCATTTATTTTTTTGTTTTACTATTATAGGATTCACAAGTTTGTGCAGAGGCTTAATGTGTGTCAAAGCTTGTTGGAGTTGATGGACTGTTATTTTCTTTTAGTCACTGTTATCTACAGGCAGTCAAATGTGTTGGAGCTTTCCTATTGAAACCCAGTGTTTATGTAATGTGTGGGTCTACCATTAGGCCCTGCAGTGGGTATCAGGCTGTCATTAATGTAATTGGACCAATGAAAATCGCCACCATTCTTTAAAGCGTCCAACCCCTACCCCCACCCAAGCAAAGAGCACCGAGAGTGGTGCCGAAATGAGTCCTACATTTAAATCTGTTAACACAAGCTGTAAAGATTTTCATGTTCTGTTCTACTACTTAAAACACCTCAGTAAATACCCCACTGGAGAGTTTCCGGAGCTTATACGTGTCATCAAAAACAGCGGTTGATAAAAGGGTTGCTATTTGAGAGTACTTAACGTTTGCTAAATCTTTAGCTTAGCGGTGGTGATGTGCAGCCTTGCAGATGTTAGGGTACTTGCAGAAAAAAAAAAATACAATACCACTATTCATACAAATAAATATGAATAATAAAAATAAAAAGCACTATGCAGTTGGGAGTAACATTCTCATTAGTTCATATGTTAGAACAGTTCCTTTTATTAAGCGAGCTGTCTTTTCCGTATTCGGTTTGATTCCTGAACAAGGTATTTTTGAATTTCCAAAACGTTATAATTTTGTGGCTCTTGTGTGTGTTCTGTATCCGATGCTCTACATTCTCTCCAGCTTTGAAGATGACCTTTTTGTATTTACTCAGAATCTTAGGCGTGATAAAAAAAAAAGTTATAGAATTCCTTCGATATTAATGAATTGGTGGAGGGTTGATTTTTTTACATGTTTTATTTTGGTCCATTATTAAGCAACTTTAGATATAATAATAATAACTAGTTTTTGTATGAATACCAATTTTGTTTGTATTAATTCAGATTTTAATCATACAATTTGGAAGTTCCTCTGCATCCCACTAGGTCCAAACTTTTTTCACCGAGTGCCACATACAGAAAAATATACGAAGGGATGGGCCACTCACTAGAGGTGAGGTTTATTGCCTCATAAGTTCAGTTATAACTTAGCAAAATCAGTCAAATGTAGGTCAATGATGCTTGTGAGTGTTGGCAGCTTATCCCTCAGATTGATTATAATAAGGAGAAATAGGAGGGTATATTTCAAACTTGTTGTGTAAATAAGTAATTGGGCTTTTTTCTTATCAACTAAGATATGTTAGAAACTTGAATTGACTGAATTTGTTTGAAAAGTGGTCTTATTAACACATGAATACTATTGCTACTGTGTAATATATTTTTACATTTATATTTACGGAGTACAATATAAGACAAGCACAAGTTTCATTTGTGGGCCATATGCCATTATACTTTTTTAATTTGCTGAGGGCCGATTCAAAATGGTCCGCGGGCCGCATTTGGCCCCCGGGCCGTAGTTTGGACACCCCTGCACTAGACGGTCATCCCACAGGGTGAGAACAGCTGCCTTACAAAGCAAAGAGCAAGAATATTTAATGGAATATTGTATTTTTAGTTGCGTTCAATTTATTCAGGTCTCCATTGAGTTACACTTTGACTTTCAGTCTAACTGCAGGTGTGTGAAAACCTTTGTCTTTAGATCATGGTACCTTGTGTGGTTCTATTCACCTGGCTTTGTGAATTAGTGTCTCAGATGTGAGACTTGAGACATTGGTTTTATATGAAATGAATTTAATCCAACAATATTTCTTGTCTCCATGTGTTACTTACATTTTAATTTTTACTAGAATGAAATTAACCAAAATGATGAGATTTCCTAAAGTGACTTTAATTTAGGATAAGAATTTATATCGGTAGGCAACCTTGCAGAGGGGTGCTCCGAGAATAACCTACTGCTCTGTCAGGAAAACCAAGTCGTAATATATTAATTTAATTTTAGAAGAAAGGGAAGACTCCTCCGTCAAATGTCCTTGTTAGTTCTATCTTATTTACCTGATCCCTTTTATTTAGTAAAGAGTTAATCTAGAGATTTTTGTATTTTTTAGTCAAAGAAAACTCTCTTTACTCTTAAGACGTTTTAGTCTTTTAAATAAACAAGACCAATTATCATCTTGATTCTCTGCAGACTAGTTGTCTGTACTCAGAGTCCACCTGATAGCTCTTTGTGCTTCCGAAGTAGTGCTGACATGGCACGCGCCCTGACAAAACTACTACACACACACACACACACACACACACACACACACACACACACACACACACACACACACACACACACACACACACACACACACACACACACACACACACACACACACACACACACACACACACACACACACACACACACACACTCACACACTCATACACTGAGGGGAGCAGTTTGAGGTTCAGTATCTTGCCCAAGGACACTTCTACTCCAACATGAATTTAGAACACTTTACATTAGTAGAGTTTATGTCCACGGGTTTGCTGCTTCTGCTGTCACACATATAGTAAGTTAAGTCAAACAATCCATGTCAAGATGTTTGACAGGGATGCTTAGCCAATCATGTGACAGGGTTTGATGAGAGTCCATGGCTCATCTAAACTATCATACTCTGTGCAAACCATATCCTGTTGGGAGGATGACTTCACGTTAATGTTAATGTTAAATTAACTCAATCAACTTGTGTTTATGTTACACTATTTCACAATGCTTTTCATTATTACCTCACATGCATGGGAGTTCATACCAGTAGAGTCAAGTCTAATAAGAGAGTGAAGGTAGTCCATAACAATATAATATATTCACCATAGAAAGAAGATAGTAAACATTAAGACAACATGTGTAGTGTGTGTAAGGACACAGGAGAGAAACCTGATAAATGTGAAGTGACTGGAACACACTGGGCCTGCTGCCTAATTACACCATGTCATTGATTAGCCACACGCTCTGTAACTCATCCTGCACATTTATTTCAAACAGAACTTCCATCAAATAAATTCAAACTCATATCTTGCAATCTCAATCAGAAAAGTCTCTAAAAGCTTGGAGTGAAATGGTGCACATTACAAATACAATATATGTCTGCGGTTTTACAACATGATTATTTGGCCGAGTAATGGCGGTAACAATCATATTTAAGTGGTAGCATGCATTTACAATAATGCTACTGGCTGTGGAGGCGAAATCCAAAAATAATATTTCCATCCAGCATTTTGTTTACTGTGGGTCAAAATAATGCGCTGTGATGTGCAGTCGACACGTCCTCCACAATGTTAAGCTGTAGCCACCCATTTAGCTATCGCTGTTGTTGTCCAGGCGTCTCCCCGGCAAACTTTCAAGCGTGGTCTGCCGCAAGCGAGCGGCAGGAGCGGGACTGTCAGCATCAGCTGTGTGCTTGGCTTGCTGTTTAAAACACCATTTTTTGTATCCATATCTCTCGCTAGAATCTCCCACCATCCAACTAACAACAACAACAACGTCAAGCCTTTGGGCTCTGAAACTACGGGGCAGGCCGAGGACAAATACACATGCGTTAATCGCACGTTAAAAATAATTAGTGGCGTTATTCTTTTTGCGTTAACACGTTATTAATGCGTTAACTTGACAGCCCTAATATTTTTATATATATTCACCGTTATATTTTTAGTGACATCACTATGTAACACTCCCGCTTCAGTTGGCATGCGCTCCAACACATTGTACATCATAGCCTAAGGGGCGGGACATCTCTAAGCGGTTGACCAATCACAACAGAGCCGGCCAGCTAACCAATCAGAGCAGACTGGGTTCTGGTTTGAGACAGAGGGTGAAAAGATTTTAAAATGTTGCTAAAAATTATATCTGTGGCACAAGTTGATGATACTTACATGTTTTGTTTAGCAGAATGATCTACAAATATTAACACCACTTTTATGCAATATCCATAAGTAAAAAGCTAACTAGGGTATACAAAGACCACATCACTGTCACATGGCTGCGCATCACCACCGCTAAGCTAACTAACTGCGGCTAATGTTTGGCATAATGACATTTAGTAGTCTCATTAGTCACTTGTTAGCCACCTCCGTTTAAAACACATAGACGCTCGGACATTCAGCAGTGGGGTATTTACTGACGGATTTTATGCCGTAGAACAAAACTTGAAAATCTCTTGAACTTGTGTTATCCACAAACTTTATTACAGGGACCTAACCAACAATAGCTCAACAAATCTGAGAAGCTGTCAGTGGGTATATCTATTTACATAACAGAAATGTCAAGTTTGGATCTGGCTTTGTAAAGAAATAGCTTCAATTTTTTTTAATAAAAGAAATACCTGATTTTATTTTTGTCTCTTCCTACAGGAGGCCAAGGCCAGCTTTGTGAATTGGCTGCAGACACGTGCAGACCAGAAGGGTCTCCTTAAATCATCCAACGCCTCCCTAAAGATGGTGTCCTGCTCTGAGCTCCAGGATGCTCCTTCGCTGCCTGATGGCTCTCTGGCCCTGGTCACCAACTCTTCAGAGGCCCAGAGCTGGCCTCAGTTCAGTATGGAGACCTACAGTAAGAACCTGAAGAGCAGCGTGCTGGGACACACCCTGCTGTACGCCGAGGTCGCCACGTCCACCATGGACCTGCTACAAGGGTAACACATGTTCCTTTGAGCCTGTTTAATGTTTGAAACTTACTCTAAGGCTGGCAGCAGCATTTTCTCACACGCAAAATTGAAGCTTACTGACCTAAAGACATACAACATTTGCACAGGCTACCCAGCTGTAATTTTATACTTCGCCTTAAAGCACAAGACCCTGCAGCTATTTCTGCCTACTTGCAATCGGTATTACCTATAATCAGAGACCCCAAAGTTCAGATGATATTTGATGGTATAATGTGCTCTCAGATGCTTAATGGACTTTGAGCACATTAAAGCAAAAAGTGCATATCACCCACTGTTGTGTGGTCAGGACGCCAAAGGTTTTCAAAGGGTCACAGTTACAGGTTTATTGTGACCCAGATGTGTGTAAATGTAAGCTGTATTTACATCATATCATTGGTTGTCACTAGGACTGGCTATCATAATAATCAATGCCTTGACCTTAACATTAGCCTCCTCTTTCCCAAAAGACCCCATACTGTAACCATTTTGTCTGGAAGATTGAAGTTTACTATTTATGCCAGGAACATATTTTTGTTTTATAACTTCACACAATTACTTAAAAAACATAAAAAACGTATGCCTTCAGTTTTTAAGAGTTTGTAAATTGCACTTCCATAATTACCTTTATTTTAATATTATCTCCACGTCTACACATTATCTGCTTTGTGTTTTGTTTTTTTAAAACCCAGAAATCTTCTTTGATAGGAAAATGACCTTGAAGAGATCTAACTTAGCATCTAACTCCACATAATGTGATTTGATGAATTAATGTGTGACTGCCGACAGGGGTGGCTTGGATCTACCAACAATGCATCAATGTAAAACAGTTCCTCTTAACAGAAGCTACACAGCAAGGTTAGGTATACAAAAAAGCAATATAAAAGAATAAGACTAAAGCTTAGAGATATAACATCTTGTTTTACACATGACACTCTGGGCCAGCGGCTGGCATGTGCATTTTAGACTAGTGCATTATTATTTCTCTCTTAGTCTATGTGCATGGGTCAGGTTGCTCTGTGTATCTTCACAGCTGAGTTACTGTTGTCAAAAGCTTCTCATGTTTAAAACCATCCACTACTTTTTGAATAGAAATAGTTTGTTTCATAATTTCAGTAAATTACCCTGAAGACATAAAATCAAGTTACAAATTAGATCCTGGTTAACACTGATGCAGGTGAGTGGCGGATGCTGGTTCTGCTTTACCTTAGTGGGTTGCTTGTGACATAGTAGATCATAATATTATTATTATTGAAAGATTGAAACAATTAGTTGGTATCTCAGGGTCAGCTCTCGAGTGGTTATCTTCATAATGTTTAAACAGAACATTTGCTGTGTCTGTTGATAGCGTTACTTCCTTTAGCATTATCCATGTGTGGGGTGCCACAGGGCTCCATTCTAGGACCATGTTTTCTCTATTTGTATTCCTTTTCAGCCTCATTTTCAAATAGCATGATGTTTTATTTCATTTTATAACAAATGTTTGACATTAAGGCGACAAAACAAACTTCCTTCTCGGTGTAGGTAGTCTCACATCCTACAGGTGGATGCTGGGGTCGAGATGGTGCTATTGAATTGCTAGCAGCCATAGTCAGCGTGCGTGTGCGTGTGAGTGCTGGGAGGTTAGGCAGGCTGGAACTAATTTAATGCCTAAGTGACCTCACTGCAGCAAAGGCAACTTGGACCTAATAGACTTCTTTGTCTGCACCCACATGTGAGTAAAAGTGGCTGTTGAGCGGGTCGATCTGGCAGCAGGTGGGAGCAATTAAAACTGTCATAAAGTTTGAAAAATGGATTGTGGAGCAGCACTGAGCTGATTGGAACAGACAGTGTTGTCATTAAGGTTATACAAAAACTAATGCTGGGTGAATGAGCAGGCCCTACAACCCCAAACCTGTTGCCACAGTTTGATTTCACTGCTAATGTTTGAGTTTCCAGATGTCCCTCTGGAGCGGCCTTGATTAATGTTATTATTAAGGAATGTCTGTTTTATTTCTTCAAGCATTTCTAAGTTAGTATTCAGTTTGATACTGAATATGTTGGAGACAATCCATCTTTCTGGTATAATTTACACTTTCTAACAGTATTATAGGAATGCTATTGGGAATTAACATTTACTTTTTGTTTGGTGACGACTGATTCTTTGCTTTTACAGCATTTGGCAGTCTGAAATTCACCTGAATATATTCAAGCACGCTGAATAAGAATCACTTGCACACACACTTCATTGCCTGATCTAGTATTATTATTTTGACAATTATTTTCTTCTTGGTCTCTTGCAAGTCCCCCAACTTTTTTGATTTATCATTTTAATTTGCTGGTGTATACCTTAAAGTGTACATTTTTCTCACCTGATTTTGATTACATTTTAGTCAGTGTTAAATGTTAAGTTGTATTTTAGTAGAGCTACTTTCTACAGAAGAGTGTCAAAAGGTGCACAATTAAACAGAAAATATGCAACAGACACAAAACAAAAGCTTGGACTAGAGTAAAAACACCATGAAATGTAAACGAATAATGAAAGTCTGAAGGGGTCTGAGCTGCTTTTTTAAAAGTGTCCAAGGTGTCAAAGATCTTCATTGAAAAAGGAAAGGGTTCCAAAGTTTAGGAGCCAAAGCTTTCCTTTGACATTTATGCCTGAGGCCAGGAACAACAAACAAACCCTGATCAGACGACCTGCTGCTGACACAGGGCTGCAGTGAGCTCACATTTAGGCAGGTGTCTGACCATTCAGAGCTCTGTATGTTATCACAAAAACAATAAAATGAATTCTGAATTGGATAGAGAGACATTGAAATTAAATGAAGATTGGTGTCGCATTAGACCCTTTTTATGACCGGCCCAAAAACAGAAAGATGAGTAGAATTGTTTAACCACTTGACAGAGATGTTTTGTTAAGGGTGGTGAAGAATTTGAACAGAAGGACTTCAATGCGTGAATAATCATCTTTATGTCAGATTGAGATGCCATCGCTATGTTTCTCATTTGTCTTTGTATTTTCTGTGGTAATGGTAGTGTTCCTATATACCACTAATGGTGATAACAATGTTGTTAAAACAATTTTAAATTGAACATGGCTGTTCAGAAAGGGCCAGATGTACAGCCTTTTGATCAAATTGAATTGACTTCAAAATTGAAAAAACGTGTGTATCTAAGCAGCAGCATCACGGACTCGACATGGGATTTCTCTCATTCATGTTGTAACAGATTTTCACTGTTGGAATGGAAAATTCGGGTTGTGTCTAAAAAGGTGGCCTTGTTGCCTGTCATCACGAGTATTAAGAGGATGAATTAATCTGCAGTTTGCAATTTCAAATATAAAGATAATTTCAGAGGATGAAAGTAATACTAAATACACAAAACAACTCATCACATACACCATTTTCCGCTAGAAATGTATGTTGGAATCAAATAGATAACTTAAAAGAAAATTGTGAACAATGCAAAATACGGTTCAATGAAGGTGTCAGTGGTTACACAGGTGAGGCACTTGGCTTAAAATGAATAGCATCTCATTTAAAAAAAGGATTAAATTGTTAATCAAATAAGAAAATAGTCAAACAGATGATGAATTCAGAGGAGTCTGTTATTAGAGTCCTTTGAAATGACAATGACTGTGGCTTTTCTTCTATCTGGGGTATAAATAAAGGATTGCGAGGGCTAATAGGCAGAGAGGGAATTGGTTTGAAGCGAAGTGCCTGCAGGTCAGTGCTGGCTGAGATGGAGGAGCTGATGAAACTCAGATTCAGTCACTTGAGTGCTGAGGCTTGAAGCTGAGGCTCAATGGCTGGCAGGCGGAGTGTTTGTCCAGGGTATTAAGGCTTTGTTTGGCAGGGAGCGGCTAATAATAGCCAGTCCTGAGACACAGGACAGTGTTCTCACAAGGTCACACCCAGCTGAAATCTCAATGCTTTTAGTGAGCAGTTTCACACTCAGCAGCCCTTAAGATGCACATGTCCCTGTTACCAGAAAACAGCTAGTGCAGGGTATCCATTATAGTGAGGGTGTTTCAGTGTAGTGTCAAATGTTTCATATGTTTTTTAGAGAATAGTTTGCCTTTCTGGCCAGTGCTCTTGTTTGTTATCAGTGTAGTTACATGCAAAGATTGATATAACCTCTCCATTTGAGACAAGGCTACAGCTAACAGCTAGCTTAGCATAAAAACGGAGAAACGCTAGCTTCGCTCTGTCCAACAGCCCGAAATATCACCTACAAACACCATTCAAGCTGATCTATTATCACTTCTTTTGTTTTTTATCTTTTAAGAAACTGAAGCGTAAAAAGGGACACAGTCTGTTGAACAAAATCTTTAAGCCCACTAAATGTGTGTCTAATTCATGTTTCTTTCTGTTTCCTGTTATACTAATATTGGTAACATAACATTTATGCAGTACTGAGAAGGCCTTTTGTTACACAAAAGGTTTGAACTTATTTTCCTAATTTTTCTCAAATGACATCAGTCAGCCAAGGTATCAAACCACATGACTTTTTAGTACTAAATGAAATGCTTTAGTTGCAACACAACACATATCAAAAAGTGTTGAATAATGAAAGTCATGATCAAATGATTGCTTAGATTCGGGTAGGTAAAGTGATCTGCTTTTATTTTTGGCAACATTCAAAACGTTACATTTTTGGCTTCTTCAATTCAATAAAAAAAAGATTCTCTAAGCAAGGCAAGCAAAACGAAAATAATGATAACCAAACTTGGCATCGGAATTATGGTTAACGTCAGCCCTTCTTGTTAATATAACCATTTTTCATAGTGACCAGTCTTTAAGTAGGCTACATAAAACACACATACAGTACAAATTGTTGTTTATTCCAAATGTAAGAAATAACAACAGGGCAGTTCTTATTGCTTTTCTTATTAATAGAGAATATGATACATTTATGTTTTACTAAAATGCATATTATGTGGTAGAGATTAAAATTGTGTTTTCAGTCAGACCGCTCTTACTCTCATATTTACATATTTTATAGATTCCCAG